TTTTTATTTCTTCCAGGTCATATCTTTCAAATGAGAGCCTAGGTTATTCAATATTCAATGTTTAGGTTAAGCAACCTTGTTAAAAGAAATGACTTGAGCTTAGGTGCTTTCATGTATCTTTTTTTAATCAAGAATCACACGATTTCTGGACAACAGATTCTTCATTCCCTTAGTTGCTTCTAGTCCTCCCAAGTACCTAGGAGAAGCCCTATTCCCTTGCTGCCCCACCCTCACCTTCAAAGTTGGAAATCTGACAAGGGCTGGGGCAGTTGAGGTGGGTGCTGTGAGGGTTGGCAGTGCACTTCAACCCAGTAGACTCTTTTGAATTGTTAAAGTGCTTGCTTAATTTTGGAGTAGGACCTATTGATTTAATTGGATTTTATTTTGTAAGTTTTGCATGCTAATGGCTTCTTTCTTGCAATTTTCCTTAGTGTTTTAGTTATTACGATTTTTTTTTTTAGTAATTAGTAAGAGGATTATTCCCAAAGTTCATATGTTTCAGGTTTATGCTGTGGCTTCGGAAGACATGGATTCGCTAACATTTGGATCTCCCAAATTTCTTCGTCATTTAATGGATCCTAGCTCAAGGAAGATTCCGGTTATGGAATTTGAAGTTGCGAAGGTGATTTGGCTCCTACCTTAATTTGGCGATTTACGATTTACCTATTGTTACCATTAACCAAATAATATGTTTCAGATTTTGGAGGAGCTGAACCTTTCCATGGACCAATTTGTCGATTTGTGCATTCTTTCTGGATGTGATTATTGTGACAGTATCCGAGGTATTTGGATTCTATGTATTTTTTTGTCCTTCTACTAATGTTGATGTTCAAATTTTGTTGTTCTGTTGCCGGTATATATTCCCAATGTAGAGCCCTTATCATTTACTCCACAGGTATAGGGGGGCAGACTGCCCTAAAGCTTATACGTCAACATGGGTCTATAGAAACTATATTAGAGAACATAAATAAAGAGAGGTAATCTTTTTTCTGGAATTGAAATATATATGATACAGTGTAATTTTCTCTTGAATATGTTTGAACTTGTTTACTCAATTTGATGAATGCATGGGTACTCTTAATATGTTAGATATGATCCGGTTATTATGTGTTAAGGATGAGTAAACCACCACTCAACCCAAGATGGTATCAGAGCGGGTGGTCATGTGTACGAGCCCCCTGCGTAGTCGTTTCCTCCCCATTTATATTGATTTCCACTTGTTGGGGTCTTGTTGCAATTTTTCAAGCCCACAAGTAAGAGGGAGTATTGAGATACTCATAAATGAATAAAATTTACCCAACCCATTAGCTTAAGCTTTTGGGTTGAGTGGTGGTTTATTCATCCTTAACATTATGAAACAAAATGATGTCGTTCAAACCAATATAGATCTTGTTGAATGAGAAATATTCTATGCTATTTAGTCGTTACACACTATGTTTTTGTATTGCATTGGACCCTATATGCAGTAGCCAATAACTGTTTTAAATAGTCCCATAGTGTAGAATTCTTCATTCTCATCAGATTTTGTTAGGCATTGTGACGGTGCGATCAGTTGGAAACTTCATTCCCCTTCATGATTCTATTGTCTAAACTATTCTGTTCATATTTAAGGCATTGTTATCTTGTAAAATGACCAGATAGTCTTATCTTTCTCTTACATTTATCTCTAAGTTAAAGTATCCTTCACATTATTTTGGTAGAGTGTAGTGACAGGAAAGTTGTATACACATGTGCAAATTGAAAATATTTATTATTAGCAAAAAATCTATCTAGAATCAAAAATGGAATAACGGTACAACTTGCATGGAAAATTAAATTAGAGCTAAAATAACTATATACAATAATATATGGAAAGTATAGGACAGAAAAGGATAAATAAGTAGGTCTCATTCTCCGGATCATATATCGGAAGAATTTGCATATATCTTCAACACACCCTCAGGCAGATGCATGCGCATCTATATAGGGCATGTCTAGCTGGCTTATATTTTTTCTTTTCAGAAGGTTGCATGAGCTAAACCTCTGGTGAATACATCTACCACTGTTTGTGGAACAGTAGGGGCTCACAAGATCTCTTATCTTAGGTAGTTTGGGAGAATAAGGTAAGAATAGGTCGCGGCTAGTTCCCTTACATGATTCTTCTCTTGCAATATGCAAAAGAGGGCTAGGTAAAATGGTAACCATGTATAGAAAATTCCTCCCGCTCATTCTGGCCGACCTCGTAGCTATGACAATAGTTTCTTTAAAACTATTTCTTCCAATCTTAATTGCCTTCGTGAATACCATTCTCTCATTAGGGTATTTAAACAAAGCCTTCCCCTTTATTTTAATTTGGTATAAATAATGGTCTGATGTATGAAGGAAAAGTTTTGTGAACTAAAGATGTTTTGAAGATAAAGGATAAGTTCACTTCTCTTGAGGATGCCCTTACCATTAAACAGACTGCAAATCCAAAGACAATCTAAAACCTATGGACTTTCCGTTTTTATTTCATTCTTTATTATTATTATTATTATAATATTTTGGATGAGAAAAACCCAACCTTTAAAATTAAGAAGAAGTTTGATTAGACTTATACTTAGCTCTATAGTAGAGTAGATAACAAAGAGACATAGCTAGGAGCAACCTGGAAAGGTTGGGATTATTATATTATGTGAAGTTCTTCTTCTTTGGTATGGTACCTTCAATAGATTGGAAGATCTTTTACTAGCTCTCAAGCTAGTTTCTAGTATGTCGGATGATTATTTCGCCTCTCTCGAAAAAGAGTTGGAAATGCTTCAAGATGAAACATTTCAAATTGAACTCTCTCTTGCCATGATGCAGCTTCTATTGTTGAAGAACTGCATAAAGGAGCATAAAGGAGCTTGAGGATGTTCTTGAGGATTTTGTTTCTCAAGATCCTTCTTTGTCTAAGTAGGGGTTGGTGCTTCATTTGGTTGGCCTCAGCCAGTTTTGGTATCCCAAGTTTTTATGCAACTGTTCTTGGGCCTGTTGTCGGTGGTTTTTGGTTATCTAACTGTGTATTCTTATTCGAATGAATTGATTGCTCATCGTTGAGTTTATCCTTTTTTTGTTTTGCTTTTTTCTTTTTCTCTCATTCCTTTGAGAGCTTGAGTCTTCAGCAATTTTTCTTTTTACTGAATGAAAAGTTATTTTTTTTTTCAAAAATACAAAGAGACATAACTAGGTGTTACACCACTGGTCTTGAGGAGAATTACTTGACTTGGATGACCAAGGTTGAGTAGCCAGGTGACACACTCATGACTGACACGAGATTAAGTAGGAAGCGTTCATGACGCATGTGATGTGAGCTTGAAACATGTTGCATGGTTGGATCATATCACATGGTTGGAGGCATCACAAGAAGACTGGAATGACATCTAGCAAACGATTCACGAATGGCGTTTAGCGCGTGAGGAAGCATGTACCACATGTGGGCGTGTCGAGACACACACACATGATGGAATGGCAAGGTTGGCAAGGTGTACCATGTGGGCAAACGAATGCGCATGGGAAGAGGCACATGGATGGACATTAGCAACAACCATACTAGAAAAGAGCAGGTTGTGACTCCCATGAAGTAGACAAGTGGTGGAGACATGCATGTGTTGCCTATCAAGATCAAGCCATGTTGTGGGTGTGCTGTAATACGACCAAGGAGGATGGTGCATCACTAACACAACAAGGAGAAGTGTGCAAGAAAGCCTAGCTAAGGTGCAAGTATGATTGGAAGCAACGATGGTATCAGTGACAAGCTGCGTGGGGGCCATATGGGTCTCAAGCCACAATCTTAGAAGTTAGGGTTTTGTCGATGGCTTCGATGGGCAACTTTTGAGTTAGATGCATATTAGTAAGATATGTAAGCACGCTAGATTTCAAATCAATAGAGATCAGACTTGCACTCTACGTTGGCAAATGACTCCTCGCCACTTATGACGTTCATGAGTGACACCAAATATGCCAAAAAATGCACTATAGGAGGTGGCACGATATTGGCTCCTAACTCTCACTTGAGTATGGACTGGTCATCTAGGATCGAAGTCAAGTCTTGGGGAAGATATTGTAATTCACAAGGGGTGTCTTGGAAGAATCTAATGGGTTCTTGTCACCATGTAAATCTTAGAGTCAAGTATGACATAGGGCTTATGGCATACATTACACGGATATAACACAATCCTTATTCATAGCATAAATGAAATAGATTGGGAGTTAGTTTGACTTGTGTGGCTTTATCATGGTGCTTGTTCCTCCTCGTACATACTAGGCGCTATATACGAGCGAGTTAGTCATTTGAATCTTGTGAGTGGCACTAACCCAAAGAGAGTCGGAGAGGGTGTTTACTCTTGCCCTAACCTGTATAAAGAACCATATCGGTGACACTAGTCACCTTGAAGAAAGGGAGGGGGTTTGGGACGTTAGAAACATGATAAAGATGCATGCAACCCAAAATAGTTTCAAGGGCTTCTACCCTTCTTACCAAACTCAATAAACATTTAATATGTTCTCAAGTATAAAAGTATTTTTTTTTTAAAATGGAATGATAGATATTACAGAAATGGAAGGTATGAGATGAAATAAGTTGCAATGCAGAGACTGTTTGAAATCCACGTTTCTCTCCGATGCACCACTCAATATGCATGATTTTTACTGCTACCCTCCCTCCCTCTTCCTCTCAGTATGTATGTATGTATGTATGTTGTATGGTACTTTAAGAATTAGGATCGATCTGTAAGAATCCCGATTACAAGAACGTAATTAGATAACTATATGCAATATCAAAGAGACGTTACAATATTGATAGCCTTTTGAGAGGACAATCTCTCTCCCAAGAACTATGCAAAATTCTCCCACCTTATACTATTCCTCCGAGATCCTTCACTTCTATCCCTACTACCTCTATTTATATCCAATTTATCTCTAACTAATTACCATAATGCCCCTTCCCTAATATACTAATAATATTCCCAATATACCCATAATAGGACTATCACAGGATATTTGTAATTGGGACTTTGAAGCCTCTGGCCTTAGTTGATTTTGTTTTTTCAATGAAGTTTGGTGCAGATATATGGCAGTCATCATGTTTTTGATGTGGCAAGTTACAGAGGAACAAAAAACTGAATGCTTCTTCTTTCCTTTATTATTGTTATTATTATGTTGTAAACAGGTACCAAATTCCAAATGATTGGCCTTATCAAGAGGCTCGACAGCTTTTTAAAGAACCACTAGTGTGTACAGACGAAGAGCAGCTTGACATTAAGTGGACTACTCCAGATGAAGAAGTAATTTAACTTTTCTGGTTCAAAAGTCTTCTCATAACTGTTTTCTTTCTTCATTATATATATACACATACCATATTATGATTTTAAAGTTATAATCCCACAACTGTTACAGGGCTTGCTAACATTTTTGGTGAATGAGAATGGGTTCAACAGCGATAGAGTGACGAAGGTTTATCCTCCTATAATCTCAATTGTTGTATCATACAGATTTTGTATGAAAGTCATTTAGGTTCAATCTTCAAGCAAATCTATGCCTCATTCATAAATTTTTATTCTTTCACTAGGCAGTGGAGAAAATCAAAGCAGCTAAGAACAAGTCGTCACAGGGCCGGTAATGTTAACCATACAATTTTATTTATTTAAAAAAAAATAAAACTTCATCTCTTTGGCCTATCGTGCTGTTTATTCCTCATTTTCAGGTTGGAGTCATTTTTCAAGCCTGTAACTAATCCTTCAGTACCCATTAAGCGAAAGGTATGCTGTTATCTATCTATTGATGTCTTAGTTGTATCTGATGTTGGGATTAATGAAATAAAGCTTTCATTCTACTTCCATATCCATATTCTAATATTAGTATTCAACTTTAACATTTAAATCCCAACGATATTTTATGGCATTGTGACAATTACATCTAACACCTCTGTAATTTTTTCCTTCCCTTGAATTTGTTGATTTAACATTTGTTTTTGTTTAAACTGAACTTAATTTATGCTGATCTTCAATATCAACATTGATTGAACTGAAATTGATTAAAGCTTCAAGGTCCATTGGTGTTAACTGCAAAATCTAGTTTTAGTAAGCAAAATCTGTTCAAAGGCTTCCTTCCTTCTTCTGTCTAATTTACTTCAGACTCTCCGTTTCTCTCTTTTATCACAACTTACCTCCAAAATCCATTAAACAAGAAGTATTAAAGAAATTCTTTCCATCAAGTTCTACAAATATCTGTTGGGATTTAGAGACCTGATCGTCTCTGCCTTACTACACTGGATGACAGGTAACCAAATGTGTAATTAGATCTCCCAAACCAGGAGTCCAGCGTAAATACTCTCCACAAGCTTTTTATTCGTCAAGGACAAAGGTCATTGGCAGCCTAGGCATGTCAATGTTAAACCTTTCTTCCAAGTACTCGGGGTCGGGGCCATTAGTTATGGCTGTTTGCTTCGGCACATGAAGCTGAAAATCCTGGTGAAATTTTACATTAACTAACTAATGTATGTAATTGAGTTGATTACACTTGGTTCTTATGTGGTTGTTTGGCCTTCAGAGATTACATGAACATCCTGGTCCTTAATTCCCTTGAACCATGTTTGATGTAACTAACTATGTTTAAAAATTAGTTACATCATTTTACATTAGAATGAGACAATTCATATCATAGGCAATACGCTAATCAAATATTTTGCCGCACATCGAATTTAATTTTATAAGTATTTGTGATTTACGTTGTCATTGCTGTGTGCTCTTTACAGCGTATTTCGTTGTACGTCACATTTGTCCTGCAACTAATGGCCCAGTAATTTAAAAATTACGATTATTGACTGCAGCATTCTTTACTCTTTTTACAATCTATTATTATTTATATGTGTTTCACTTTTTATTTGTCATTCAACAGGAGACGTCAGAAAAGCCCACCAAACAAGCAGTAACTAAGAAATCAAAGTCTGGTGGTGGTAAAAGAAAGTAGTCGAGTTGGTTGCATCGCCACTGTCAAATTAGTTTATCGAACTTGATGTTTTGAGTAAGATTTGTTTGATAAGTTTTCGTTGCCTTCAATTCTAGGACATAGTTGCATATTATATGACAATAATTTTATTGTATTGATTTGGCCTCGGTTGTGCAACTTAGGAGGTAGTTCTTTGGGTATCTGTGGAAGGATCGAGGAACCAATCATGGTTGTAGATGCCTTACGTAACTAAATATCTATCAAAATTTCAAGATACATTCCCTCTCTGGAATGAAGATTTTGTTCCTTCTCTCTAGCATATATGTTTCTTAAGTTGATGTAATTAGTGGGTTTGAATGATTTTTTTGCTTAATGGATATTGAAGAACGGTAAAATGTGAAAAAAGGAAACAAGGTGGTTTATTTACTGAAACTATCTACGATCCCAAAATGATATATATCAAATTCATTTGACTTTGGACAATTTCTTCAAACCCATGCTAATATCATCATCCCAAATTTTGTGAGGGGTTAGGAGGGCTACCAAGGATAATGTTGTAACCTTCGATGTTCTTTGAGATCTCAATTTGGTGGAAATATCAATAAAATGTAAATTTGATGGAAATATCAATAAGATGTCGATATTGATAGATATTCATTAAATATATATATATATATATATAAATAAAAAATTAAATAATCACACCTACAAGTAAGCTAAAACTTATTAATATTGATATTATATTCAAATTAGTGATATTATGTTAATATTTTTTTTATATTTTATCGATTTTTCTGCGATACTTTGTGAGGATTAGTGATGGAAGCTAAACATCCTTGTGAGGATTGGGAAGTGATCCCGCCCTATTGCAACTCTAATTATTTGAATTGAATAAGTCACCTAAAAAATTGAGTTAGTTACGTATTGTTGGTAAATTTTTTTTACCCTTATAATTGGTTTAGTAAGTCAACTTTGACCTAAATTTTTAAGTTTGACAAATTGAACCTTAAATTTTAATAAGCTACAAAATTAATGCTTAAACTAAATTAGAGTATTGGTCACGAATCAACAATAAGTCGTGTTTGGGGGAAAGAATACACTGGACACGTGGAGGACAGCCATTGGTACCCCAAGGTGACCATGAGTCATGCCCCAGCTCGGACCGCCAAGATCACCACCACTAGCGTTGACAGATACTAAGTATGAGGGCCGAGGTGAACCTGGCCGAGGTCCGACCTACCAGGAAGTTCGGTGGGGGCCGATGTGAGCTACTGTCGGCGGCGTGATTATCGGGTGTAACCGTCGGTCCCGAGATTACCGGGTGTAACCGATGGTCCCGAGATTACCAGGTGTAACCGTCGCGAGATTAGCGGGACTACCACCCATAACCGTCGCGAGATTAGCGGGACTACCACCCATAAGTAGAGGACCTCACTTCGCGATTAGGTACGATGATTTCTGACCTCGAACTAAATTGGGAAACCGACCTATACTGACTTGATCGTCGGAGTGCTCACCTTTTGTGCAGGTCCGCCCAAGTATTCAGATCGGTCCGGAGGTCGAGTTCGAGCTGCAATCTGAAAGATACTGTTGTGCATATCCTTGCATAAACAAGTCGCATAAAATTCAATCAAAGAACACCCAAAATTAGGCAAGAAAAATGTTCAAAATCCACTATAAAAATACCCAAACCTAGATCCAAAATTAGGTAGGTAAAAATAAAAAAATAACAAAAGCCCCAAACTTAACAATAAGATCTCAAATCCAATTAAAAACATCATATACGGTTAAAAGAAAAAACATCTACCAAAAACTTGGAAATAACATATCCAAACCCAACTAAAAACCATCAAAAGTGACCGTTTTTTTAGTACATTAATCTGAATTCAAAATCACGAATTTTTAGGAGATAGATATATAAGCCATACTTATGTTTGCATCACGACTCGAAGTAGAAATATGTATATAAATAGTAATTGATAGTTACCAAAAAAATACTCTAATTAGTCACCAACCATCCAAAAACAAAAATCTAATTAGAATATTAATTTTACTATTTATTTAAAAGGCTAAAAATTAGACAATGTCTTTTGAACTATGCAGCTAGTTTCAGAGCTCGAAAAAGAAAAAAAAAAGAGTGCTAGTTTGATTTGAAAATAGAGATTTCGAAAATTTGCACCATTTTCCAATAAATATTTAGCAACAAATTTAGAAATTTGATTACAATTGAAGAAAAATTGTTGAAAAAGTATTTAGTGGAATATTTAGAAATGATAAAAATAGTGGTATAGCTGAATCTTTATATGAATATCAAATGGTAAAATACACTAGGTTGGTAAATTTGAGGATAAATTTTTATTTAGTATTTAAGTTTAAAAAACTGACCATCTACGACTTTTAGAAAATAGTTCTACAAAGTCTCTAAAGTCAAACTTTTGTTGGTTTTAAGATTCTAATGTGTCATTAGTGAATTGACAATTTTTAGGTCCTATAGTGTATTATTATTATTTGAAAATCATATTAAATGACGTAAAATAAATATGTATTTATAAAAACATCATTATTTTTTTTCCAAAAATATCACAATAGTGAATTTTAGTTGGTCTCATGTGATTGTTTGCAACTTATGCAATTTTGTAAAATTTTAAACCTAATGCTATATATAAAAATACATATTTTTTTTGTGCCATTTTTGTAATTCTATCGCTATCAACTCTTCTTAAATAGTTTATTAATATATTCTTGTTATAAATTTTGTATAATTGCTATCCTACAATGTTATATAATTTATAATACATTACGTAAAACGAGTTTATAGCATGAAAATAGTATATTTATAAAAAAATTTATATGTAATTTTGCATTTTAAAATATCAAACAAGAATATATACTTGGATTAGAATTCAATTTAAAAAAAAAATATCCAAAAAACATATATTTTTGAATTTCCAAGAGATCAAAAGTTCAAATCCTCCACCCCTACCTGTATTAAAAAAATCAAGAATTTAATTTAGAAAATACGTAATGTAACTCACGAAGATATTATAATCTCTCGTAGAAACAGTATTATGTCTTAACTGCACATCAATACGACATTCATTATGTATGTCTCCCTCGTATCATTAAGAAAGGAAATCATTTTTTAGTAAAACAAGATGAGATATTCGAATTCATAATTTTTTTGCCAAAGATAACTGCTAATTACAACTGAGTTAAGTTCATGTTGGYATTAAAATAATTTAGCGGCCCATCTCGTGTCAGTGGATGTAATAAATTCCAATGGTAACGCCCTTTGGTTATTCCAAGTTACTAAATGGATAGTTCAAGCGGAAGAAGGAATTTGTTCGCTCGTGGGGCAATTTCTTCGATTCATTAATGGAAGTCTTTTGTTTCAAAAAAAGAATAATAAATAAATAATTGCACATCTATCTATATATATATATATATATATATTCTGGAGGAGAATAAAATAAAATGGCTAATAATTTTATATGGTTGGGTGTGTGAGAGAAAAGGTACAAAATTTATTTCAAACCTATATCTAACCATTATTAGGGAGCCGCAAATCCTAAACAAAAAGAAAAAAATTAATTACAGGTTTAATCTTTCAACTTTTATCTTAATTTTATGTTTAATGAATCTCAAACTTTTGTCATAACGTAGATATAATTTAAAGATATTAGATATAAAATTAAAAATTGATACATTTTTAATTTAACCCTTTTATTAAATTTTTTTAAGAGGGGCTTCTTCCGAATATCATATATTTTCTTTGTCTGAGATACAAAATGGAAATGGCATATCTAGGGATTAGAGCATTCCGTACGTAATTGAATTCGAAGCGATCATTATACTAATAAGAAGAGGAGATCCGGTGCCGGTACGAGGTCGGAGGCAAGGCGGCGGCGGCGGTTGGTGGCACTGCAACTGCTCGTACCCTATCGTATTGGTATTCCATTCCATTAGCGGTGGCCGGAGGAGGAGGAGGAGGAGGAACGCAGCCGCTCTCGCCACCTTTTCCACTCTAATTTTGCTCTGACCAGAATTAAGGAAGGGTTGGGTCAACCACTGTCTCCTCGTCGGACTCTGATCTCAATTGCGGTAAATATTTCCAAATTCCCACCATTCCCTCGCATTCCAATTTTGGGCATTTATCCTCTAATTACTTGCTCTACAATTTTTACTTCAACTTCTTGTTTGTTGCAGCCTTTTGTCTAAAAGTTGTTGCGTAATTTTATTCGGCCTTTGCCTAGTTCCTTGACTTTTATCAATTGTTTTCAAATTCTAATATATCTTTTTACTGTCCTCGTTGTTTTCATGTAGGTGTTTTGGCTGATGATCATTTTGTTTGTTTGTGAAATTCTGCATTGGCAAGAAAATCGTCCTGCTCTTGCTTCGGTAACCTAGAAATCTTAAGGTAAAATGAGTTTTTTCGAACCCTTTGTTCTACTGTTTCCCTTGATTCTATCCATCTATGTCTCTGGTTGGGGGCGGTGGGTTGAGGGTATTCTTCAAATTTCCGCCTTTTGTTATCCATTCCTAGTAATATGGGATCACTTAGAACGTTTGTCTTTGTTTTAAACTTTCCTTCTTCCTTTCACCCTGCAGAATTTGACGTTCAGAGACTTTTTGATATTTGACAATAGTAGGTATCAGAAACTTGTGGGATATTGAACATCTCAGATAGGTGGTGACCATTGTTATGAACCTATGACTTCTAGTACATTTGGTTTACGGCTCACTCCTTTGACTATCGGGCCAACCCAGGATGGTTAGGAGATGCATAATTTGCCAAATGTTTAAGTTTTATATGTTAGGAGGTTTTAATCAGTTAATGCATTCTAAAAACTCGTAAATTAATTTAATTTATGTTATTCAGTAGGTGGATTGTGAATATGAGATAACAGGGAGCAAATGATACTGCAGTGATTTAGTTTACCTTCTGAATCTGTGCTAATACTATGCAAATAACTTAGACCAATAACTTAGTTGGTTAAGTACTAGAGTAATTCCAATATATTTTCAACCGTCTGTAATAATTAACTACTCCAAAAGTCAGATTATAGCATTTAAGGTTATGAATGGTTGAATACTTRATCTTTTGGATAATTCCAGCTTTAATAACTAACGTTGAATAGGCAGGACWAGTAATGAGTTGACCTTTATTTAGAATATAGTCTGTTGACATGACGATTCATTCTTCTTTCTAACATCACTATTGAAAGGATCCATCTTTAAGTTGAGGTTTATGTAATACTAGGTCATGGATGAGAAGAAAATTATAGCTATTTGTCAATCCGGCGGTGAATTTGAGACTGGTAGAGATGGTATGCTTTCATACCATGGAGGAGATGCCCATGCTATTGACGTGGATGATAAAATGAAGTTTAATGAGTTCAAGGTGGAAGTAGCAGAAATGTTTAATTGTAATGTGGACACTATGTCGATCAAATACTTCCTCCCTGGAAACAGGAAGACTCTCATTACTCTCTCCAATGACAAGGATCTAAAGCGCATGATAAAGTTTCACGGAGATTCTGTCACTGTTGATATTTACATAACCATGGAAGAAGTGGTGGCAACTGACATCTCAAATTTGCCTGCCAGTAGGTAGTTTACTTGAAGTCTAAGCTTCTTTTTTTTTCTCTTTTTCCCCAAGTATGAAAAGATTGCCATTTTGTATTTATAGGTCAAGCAGAACAACTTTATCAGAAACAGTGGTACCTGTTGATGGTACTCCTCTTACTATTATCCATGGTATTGGGGACGATAATACTCACGYCGATATTCCACTTGACGGTGCACTTGATGTTGTGGATGACACAAACTCTGTAGTTAATCACATTGATATAGGAGGTGATATTACACCAATTCTTCCTCTTCTTGGTTCAAATGATGAGAAGCATGGCAAAGGTGCACAGCAGTGGCAGAATACTATTACTGGCGTGGGTCAAAGATTCAGCAGCGTTCATGAGTTTCGTGAATCACTGCGTAAATATGCTATTGCACATCAATTTGCATTCAAGTACAAGAAAAATGATAGTCATCGTGTGACTGTTAAATGCAAGGCTGAAGGTTGCCCTTGGAGGATTCATGCATCAAGATTGTCAACCACTCAATTAATATGTATTAAGAAGATGAATTCCACACATACATGTGAAGGGGCAGTTAGGACTACAGGCAACCAGGCTACAAGGAGTTGGGTGGCCAGTATTATTAAAGAGAAACTAAAAGTTTACCCAAATTACAAACCAAAGGATATTGTCAATGACATCAAACAAGAATATGGAATACAATTGAACTACTTCCAGGCCTGGCGTGGGAAAGAAATAGCAAAGGAACAGCTTCAGGGTTCATATAAAGAAGCATACAATCAGTTACCTCTTTTGTGTGAGAAAATAATGGAGACTAATCCAGGTAGTCTTGCCACCTGCGACACTAAAGAAGACTCAAGTTTTCACCGTCTCTTTGTCTCATTCCATGCCTCATTAGGTGGTTTCCAACAGGGTTGCCGTCCTCTTATTTTCCTTGACAGCATTCCTTTGAAGTCAAAATATCAGGGAACATTATTGGCTGCCACAGCTGCTGATGGTGATGATGGTTTTTTTCCTATTGCTTTTTCTGTTGTTGATACAGAAAGTGAAGATAACTGGAGCTGGTTTCTTTTACAATTAAAATCAGCATTGTCAACATCTTGTCCTATAACATTTGTGGCAGATAGACAGAAGGGTTTAACTGTTTCAATTGCTGGTATATTCAAGGGCTCGTTTCATGGCTGCTGCCTAAGATACTTAACCGAACAACTTATTAGAGACCTGAAAGGGCAATTTTCTCATGAGGTGAAGCGGCTCATAGTTGAGGACTTCTATACTGCTGCTTATGCACCTAAACCAGAAAATTTTCAGAGGTGCATTGAAAGCATTAAAAGCATTTCATTAGAGGCTTACAATTGGATCCTACAAAGTGAACCTCAGAATTGGGCAAATGCATTCTTCGAGGGTGCTAGGTATAACCACATGACATCGAACTTTGGAGAGCTGTTCTATAGTTGGGTTTCAGATGCGCATGAATTGCCCATCACACAGATGGTTGATGCAATCAGGGTTAAGATAATGGAGTTGATCTATGCACGGCGAGCAGAATCTGACCAATGGTTGACAAGACTAACCCCATCCATGGAGGAAAAGTTGGAAAAGGAAGGCCACAAGGTTCATAGTCTTCAAGTGCTATTATCTGCGGGTAGCACATTTGAAGTTCGAGGTGACTCCATTGAAGTTGTTGACGTCGATCACTGGGATTGTACTTGTAAAGGGTGGCAACTTATTGGATTACCATGTAGTCATGCAATTGCAGTCCTTGGCTGTCTTGGCCGAAGCCCTTATGAATTTTGCTCCCGGTATTTCACAACTGAAAGCTATAGATTAACGTATTCAGAGTCGGTACATCCCGTTCCCCATGTTGACGTGCCCATGCATAAAGGTTCTCTACAGGCCTCGGTGACAGTAACTCCTCCTCCCACGCGTCGTCCACCTGGTAGACCTACATCAAAGAGATATGGATCACCAGAGGTGATGAAACGTCAGCTTCAATGCAGCAGATGCAAGGGGCTCGGGCACAACAAATCAACCTGCAAAGAGTTTCAACAGAGTGTTTGATATTGTAAGAATAACTTTCTTGCATATACTTTGAATGTCTTGGTCTCTTATTCATGTTCATAATTTTATTTGGATTTAGGCGTGAAGGGACTGGTCAATACATAACGTGTATGATTTATACTACATACTAACAATCACATTTTTTATGGTAAAATAAATTGTATACAATGTAAYCATGGCTTTCTTTTCATGGTAGAATTGGACCATTGGGGATGCGCTAAGTTAAGGTGTTTGTTTGACTAATTGAATGCAATTTGTGTGTTGTTTCTTAAATAGGATTGTGAAAGTGGAAGGGCCATCCGAGAGCTTCATTGTATAAAGGACTGGGCTGAACTTAACAATATACGTAGCTGTACTTATTTGCTTCGAAAGACTGACGTTAGATGGTAGTCTCTGTCTCTGTCTCTGTCTCTCTTAGTTGCTTTTGCTAACTTTTCATAACAGTGAACAATAATTTTTAGGAAAGCAATGAAAATAGTAGGTATAGGTTCTTTGATTGGCTTCACTGAATTATCGACATGGAGTAAATATGTTACAGTTTAATTTATTCTCATCTCTAGATTTCCAATATTTTTATATATTCTTCTCCTCTTCCTCAATCCTCCCCTCGCAGAAGAATAATGTGAGAGAGGATGGCAATTCCATTTCTTAGTTATTTGTTATGTTGTCCAGAAAAAGAATAAAAACCCACCAAGCAAGTGTCGAAATTTTTTAACAGGAATTCATGGATTTTTTAAAAGTTGAGAAAGTGACCAAGTTCATCGGCCACAATTAAATTTAAACATGTTGACCTTTTTGTTAATAAACACTTATCAAAAGGGTAAATTATTTTCATATAATATTTTCTATTTATCAAGAAATTTTACTACACCTAGTTATCGAGATTGTCACCAAAACTCCCCTTATTTTGTTTCAATCTTTTTTGAGTTCAACAATATTTGAGGGTGAGAGTTCATGTCCTGATGTTCCAAGTTAAGCCCAAAAATTCAGACAATTCACATTCAGCCCAGAAGCTTCCTTAAATGGATGAACAATGTTGTAAAAAMTTGTTAGAGCTCACTCCTTGTGTGTGGAGAAGAGGATGTATATCCATAAAGTGAGACCCAACTCAAATCCTTTGATCAAGTTCTTATCTGCATGCAACTATCATCAATATACATGGATAGGTGTTTCAACAAAAGAGATGTGTTACTTCAAAAAATAAAGAAAAAAAAAACAAAAGAAATGTGAATAGCTGGAACGCGAAAAGCCAGAAAAAAAAAATAGTCTCTTCATTTCTAGAAATTAATTTTGAAATTAATATTATCAAAACTAATTATAGAATTTCAAATGTTTTCAACTTCCATTAATGACAAGGTTCATTTTTCTTTCCCTCTGGAGCTTTTTGAAGTCTAGAAATTCCTTGAGAGGAATATCATTAGCAAATGGAATGGACCACAACATCCTCAGATACTATTGTTGATGTCTCAACTAGTCAGATTCAGCATTCAACTATTGCATTTCAACCTCAAGAGTTCGTCAAATGTCATTGACAAAACACTTATTACCTCCATTCAGCATCACGGACRTGAAACATGAGCTGCAAAAAGATCAAGCCAGACAAAAAAATAAAAAAAGAAGACGACAATTTTTTATATACTTGATTTCAATAGAATGAGCAGGGATATTTATGTCATTACCTTTGTGGCCAAATAAAATGTTACAAACAAGCCGCCCAGAACAGGGAGTCCTGTAAAAGTCCACTCTTTAATACGGTGATAATGGCTTCATAATATTTTTTATGTATTAGATAATTGCTTCATAAGACAAAAGAAAGAACAATTAATTCAACTGATACAGTACTAATAACGACCTTGTTTATTCAAGAATTTTGATGCCAATGAATTAATGCCTGATGGTCCAATAACATACCCAGCTAGGTTTGCAACCTGCATAAAGGACATTATCATTAGTCCATGTTTCTTTGATATGAGCAAATTTAGTGTTCAATTGCCTTTCTTGAGAGAGAGCCAGAGGCATGTCTGACTACTCCGCAAAAATACTCTAAGTGATAAATAGAGAAATTCTTTAAACTAAATAACMGATAACACAGTAAGGCTTGCATTGGGCGTACCATGAGACCGGTGATTGTGATGGCACCCCCAATTGCACTAAGTTCGCGGAAAACAAACTCTGTCATGGCACCCTCAGCCTGATAACATATCAGTAAAAAGAGATCCAGTTGCTCAGACATTTTATTCTTTTGTAGGAAACAAGAATTTTATAAAGGGTGAAAGAATAAAAAGTTTAGGGGAAGATGAGACATTATGTACTACCAAGCTAACTTGGGTCACAGGCTCCAGTGGACGCTTGCAAGTATGATAGTATAAAGTAATATAGTTTTTTTTTTCTTTCAATAGAAAATATATATTTCATTGATGTGATGAAATATATTTCATTGATGTGATGAAATATATAGGGAAAAAATAAAAGAGAAAACACCAATGCTAAAAGAAGTTACATAAAAGTCTTCCTATAGAAGTCATCCAATTGGCCAAAAAGTCATTCAAATTGTAATTGAGAGAGCAAATATATAGTTATGAAAAGACCTGTTATTCATACACCAAGAAGATACAATAAAAGACCTAATATACCACCAAGGCAAGATTCCTATCTATTCCTTGGGCTTGGACTATTCTCATTCTTCTTTCAAGAATCTCCAAGAATGACTTCTAGAGTTTCTAGGACTGAAAGTTAAGATGATTCCAACCAATTCATGTAAAGAGTCATCTAAAATTTTCACTTGGCACACCAGGAGACTTTTTTGGAGGAAATAACTCATTCGTCTCAAAAGAGAGTTGCATTATCAGGGATGAAGCCTTATTCCTAACCTGTTTTCCTTTTATCTGTACTGCTTATTTAGTATATATCTTTGTCTCATTATCTGGTCCAAGGGGTTAGTTTATTTGTATCTCATGTTACACTTTAACACGTACTCTGCTATGATTTTTAGATTGGGGATGAATAAGAGAATACAGAAGGTATCTACTTACTAATTGATATTCAAAAAGCATAAACAGCCCCAAGGCTTACAATAGCACCCAACCGTTAGAGAGGGTTGAGAGCCCTCCCTTCAAGACTAAACCTTACCGAAAGTCAAAAGATAACCCCTAAGCTACCCTTCAAAAAGTATATAAGGGCTCACTAAACAAAAGGTTTTCCGGCTAATCATTACTAGGGAATTTACCCCTTTACCCCTCCTAGCATACATATTTATCACAGGGGGCCTCAAAAATACAACCCCCAAATTCTTCTATAACAACAAATATTGATTTTTGTGGCTAGATGAGAAAAAGAACAAGAACAAAGGCACACTGCGGTGTGATTTATTGTAAAAGAACTAAAATAGAAGAGCTATCACCTTAAATGCGCTCACTGCTGACTTCAATACCATTTCAGGAACAAAGAATAGACATGTCAACCACGCCCACCATATGAGCTTCCTGCATCAATCAAATATTAATCGTACATTGAATAAGTTGTGCTTCCATATCAAATAACTGAATGGACCGAGGATAATTATATGAAGGCTCCGTGTACCATTCTAAATCATGCCATATTGCAACAAATGTAAACACAATCCAGACGTTGAACACTTTCCTTTTGGATCCCCCAAGAGGAATGTACATGTACCTGACATGGCATGAAGCAAGCAACTTTCAGGTTGGATAAAGAAATGGAAAAGCCAAAGAAATCTAGTTTCAAGAATCTAAGTTTACACCTGACAAGCCATTTATTATAAGAAGCATGCCAATTTTTCCAGAAGCCTTCCAAGTTGTAGCAATTATTGAGACACCTTGGCATATTTTCTGGGGCATCAATGCCACATGTCTACAATAATGCAACAGAGAAACCACTAAAAACGTAAAACAACAATCAACTGTTAGGGATAAAAACAGTCTCCTATCGGTTAAACGTGAGGAAGATATATGGTATATAAGGACAAGATCTCCCCATTGGCATAAGACATTGGGTGAAATTTATATATATATATTATATATGCGCACGCTTATGCCCAAAGTAGACAGTATGACAATATCGTGAAAATATGAGGAGACCGTGTGTGCTAACATAAACATCACAGAGTACAAATATGGGGAAACAATAGATGAAGGCAAAAAGATCACATACCAAGGACCAGAAGCGAAAGTACCGCCATAGGAGGAGAAACTTTAGCCACATGAAATTTAAGACCTACACCACGGGAACAATGCCACACCATAAGAGTGTTAAAAGCTGAATTCAATTATTCAAGGAATAAAACTTAGAGGGAATGTAACCTAGAGTGTTACTCCCTGAGATCAGGGAGTGTCAAGCCTAAGTGGATTTTCAAACTACTATGGATAAAATCATAAAAACAATATTAGAAGACTTGAAGATTCCAGGAGAAGGGAGTAACTTTATAAGGCTTTCTTGTGACAAAGAATTAGCCACCAATATAGTTCACAACACTGTCCAGCATGAATGAAATAAAGTATTTGGAAGATGACAGGCAGTTCATAAAAGAAAAGTTGGGCTTGGTTACTTAGATTCTGTTTGGTCTTTCAGATTCTGTATTTGTATCTTTATATTTTTATGCTTTCTTGAGAGTTTGTATCCTTGAACAATTTTTGTTCCTTTCATTAAAGTTCGTATTTTGTTCAAAAAATAAAAGAAAGTTGGGCATGTAACTCATTTGAACGACTTTCATATCTAAAAACAATTAAACAGCTGAAAATCCAACAAAAGGACATATTGCTTGCGGTTTCAAAATTTGATTGGCAAGCTGGAAACTGAAAATATCTATTTACCATCTTGAGAGAGGGTAAAAAATCACAAATACCTTTGTACCAACAAAAAGTAGAAGTTGCATAACTGTATAGTTGACTACTTATGAAATTTTATATATCCTTGCCCATAGTTATCTTCCAGAATCATAGAGATAAGGGAGCTGTTTGGCAGTTTTTGTTTTGATTTCTGACAAACCACAACTAGGAAAGGAAACAACAAATCGGGAGGGAACGTTCACAAACTATAATGAAAGAGATGGTTGCATACACGAATGCACCTAAATCCCTGACTTTTATTTTGTTCCTTTTCATACATCAATGAAAAGTACATTTCTTGTTAAAAAGAAAAGGGTGCATTAGGCATGAGCCTTGTGAAGGCAATTTGATGAAAGTTGGGCAAGTTGCAAGATACACATATGCACACCCGGCACCAATGTAAGTCTCAACGCACTTTTGCATCGTTCGAAACAATGATAACAACCTATTCTACAGCAAGGGAATATTTACACAGTTTACAAAACGTCATCATAGTGTTGATCAAACTTTAAAGACTATATAGCCCTTACTATATAGTTTGTTGTGATGCAAAGTAAAAGATACAATGGAAGGAATAATAAAGTCAAATTTTTCCACAGAAAAAGAATACTTGAATAATATAGATCATGCCTTGTGATTTATTAGTTGACATATGTATCAAAAACCACAGATAAGAAAGGCAAGATATAGAGTTTCTATTAAGATAATTGTTTGTGTTATGATCTCACCCCATATCCGATAAGGAACACGTCCAGTGGAGATAACTGTTTCCACAAACCACTAACAAAGGAAGTTAAATTGAGTTACTACAATTTGCAAATAGAAGGAGCCCTACACTCCAGTTTGTATATAATTCACCTGATAGCAAAGGCATTGTAATGAAATAGATGYGTCATTAGTTCCATTAGGAGAAAGCTGAATGCCCAACGTAAACCGTACCAAGCCAAGTCTCTAAGTGTATAGTTATTCTGTGGTACATCTAGCTGCGAGAAAATAATGTGACTTCAGCAGATTGAATAATTATTAATAAATAACAAGATCACAAATGTATATCAGACAGGCAAACTTGGCCATMAAGGAAAACATCATAAATTCAGTAACTCTTTAGCACAAATGAAATTTCAATGATGCTGAACTATTACATGTTTCAACAGCAACAACCACAACAACATAATAATAAATTAAACCAGTAGCATAAATTAAATATTTTGATTTTGTTAGCCCTTAGAGCTCTCACATTAAAAACACTTCTTGATATTCTAAAACCATACTGGAGTTTGGAGAAGCTTTAACCTATTCGTTTAACTAGTGTAATAGTGACCAAGAGAACAATCAGCAGAGAAGGCAACAAGAAATCTACTTCAATCGTAAAGGATATCAGAGTGGAAATTAAGAAATAAACAAATAAAAGAAATTAACAAGAAACATAACTGAAAATGGGAGGGCAGAGAAAGGTTAAAAGATAATTAGAAGCATTCATATAAGAATCACAGACCTGCGAGGCAAATGCATTAAAGCTCACAATTGGCCCAGCAAGATAAAGAGGCGCATAGACCAAGTAGCAGAGGTATAAGGTGAATGTGAACTTGTCATCTTGGACACCTCTCTCCTGGTTAAAAATAAAAGTATTTGCAAGTATCAAACAAAACCCTCATTCATTTAAGAAGCAACTAAAAATAATATTATACTTCAATCCTTAGTAAACATCAAATAACCTGTAAAATTTGGTAGCAAGCTCTTCCTGATTTGCAAACTTGGCAACGTTGATTATGCTTCTGCAACCACCAGAAGCTATACAATTAGAAACAGCAGCAAACAACAACCTCATTAAGAGCTTTGACATTGGCAACAATTTCATGGACATCCATCATTTGCAATTTGCGGATGAAACCATCCTCTTTTCTCCCTATGAAGACCTCTCCCTGATCAATATGTTCAACATTGTTCGGCTTCTGGGATCAATGTAAACCACCAAAAACCAGAAATCCTGGGTGTTAACTTGGAGAACAGTGAGCTGGAATCATTAGCCAACAAGTTTGCTTGCAAAAAAAAGATCTGGGCCGAAGTCATACCTAGATTTGCCCTTACATGGCAAACACAGGACCCTCCTCTTTTGGGACCCTTTGATTGAGAAAGTGAAGAAACTTTTGCATTCTTGGAAGAACTCTTTCATATCAAAGGTTGGTAGACATACTCACCAACGTGAAATTGAAAAACATAGTCCTACTTGCAAAGTGGATTTGGAGATATGTTAAGGAGGGGTCTGCTCTATGGAGAAAGGTTATTGAAGCAAAATATGGAAGATCCTCTTGGAACTTCAAAGTTCAAACCAATCTCAACAACCCTTCCTTCTGCAAAAGGTCCATGGAGAGCGATCCTTAAGACGTAGAATTTTATCTTTGATCATCTGGCATACAAAATTGGCGATGGATGCAATGTATCATTTTGGAAAAATCCTTGGTTGAATGACGAAACACTGGATCACATCTATCCTCTTCTATTTGCTCTATCATCAAAAAAGGAAGCATCCATAAAGGATCTTTGGTCGGAAGAAACCAACTGTTGGAACATGAGTTTAAGGAGGAACCTAAAGGATGCAGAAATTGTTGAATAGGCGACCCTCTCACACCAGCTCCCTACTGTCCATTTCACAACCGAGGCTGACTTATTGTACTAGAAACTAGAACCAAATGGCATCTTTTCTACCAGCTCTCTTGTCAAAGATCTCACTCATCACAAATCGGACACCTCTCCCAGACTCTATGAAGCTACTTGGAAAGACATTTATCCAAAAAAAAAAGTGAAATTCTTTATATGGGAACTTAGTCACCGTGCCATTAAAACCAATAACAAGCTCCAAAGACGACTACTTTACATGTATATCTCCCCCAATTGTGCATGATCTGCAAGTCAAACTCGGAAGCACAACAGCACCTTTTTGTTACTTGCCCGTTTGCCTCTGCATTCTGGAATTTGATCCTTAATACTTTTGGTTGGTCCACTGTTTTGCCTATGGATCCTTATCTTCTCATGGAGGCCACTCAGCCACCCATTTAAAAAGGAAAAGAAACAGGTCTGGATAAACTTTATCCATGCTATCTTTTGGATCACTTGGAGAGAGAAATTATAGAACCTTCAACGATAAAAATCTTCCTATTTAGGGGCTTTTTGATGCTACAGTCTACTTAGTTATTACTTGGTGTAAATGTTCCCCTTTGTTTCATCACTATAGCTACACTTCCCTTTTAGCCTATTGAAAATGATTCATGTAACCCTTGAATAGGGCTTTTGTAATTTCATACCATCAATGAAATTGTTTCTTAAACAAAAAATAATAAATAAATAATTCCTCCATCAGAAACAATGAACGCAAGTATACCTTCTGATCAAAATGAGAATGGCTATGTGCCCAATGGTAATCATATCCAAAGCTTATCATGCGCAAAACAACTGTTGAAACCAAATTCAAATCAAAAATAAAAAAAGCAGATGGATATTCATTTCAATAGTTTGTTACACTATTTAGAAAATAAGAAAAACTTCTTGAATAAATTAAAAGAGAATGGATACTCCCTAGATCTTTGCTTTGATTAAATATTTACTTTCCTATTTTATAAGAACAATGGTTAGCAACTCAAAATCAACCAAGAGGATTTTTTATTTCTCAACTTATCTAATTACTACATGATTGATCTTAGATACTCTAATATTCAATAGAGACAGAAATTAGATCATCTTAAAATCCAAGATACAAGCCATATTTTATCCCATACCTAAACCTGAACATGTTAACAGATATTACCAGTTCCCAAACTGAGTAGAGTTAACTCTAATTGAAAATCCCCAACCAATGTTACATTTATGAGATCAAGTTTACAAAACAAATGAAATCCATGCATCAACTAGGATGGAGCCACAAATATAGTTCCATAATCAGAGAATAAAGGATAAAAAATTACCAAAGTTAAAGCAAATTTGCCACCTGAATGTTCCTCGGAAGTTGTCCAAGTATGACCACCGTAGTCTATGCATGATAGAAAAAACATAAGTAAATAGTGGTGGTAAGTATATTCCAGGGGAAAAAAACTTATTCAACTACTCACTGACGTGTTTAATATTCTAAATTACAAAACTCACCCAATTKCCGAGAATGAATAACCTTCATACACACGATTACAAAGAAGGAAAAATAAATTGAAAGTCCATAGTAGATATGGAAAGGACTTTCTTCGTGCAAAAATCTGCATGAAGTTCAATTAAAGAGAATTGGCAAAGATCAATATCATATCCATAACGTGACCCAAGACAAACGTAACTATTACCAACCATGAGAAGGAATTCCAAGAAATAGCACAAGTGCCTCTTATCGAAAAGACAACATAAGTACGAATGAATATAACTAACATGCACGACAAGAAAACAAAAGCTCGTTTATCAGTTATGCTTGCGAATTATTCCACAAATATACTGAAGAAAAACAATAAAAGAAAAGGAAAAGGTACACGGCCAATCAACCACCTCAATTCTATAATATAATGGGAAAAGGTCCCTGTAATAGATTAGAACAAAGCATCTTCAAAGCGAAGCATTGTTTAGATCTAAATTAGGAAGCAAGCAATTACAAGGGTATATGTATATTTAGTTAAAAACTAAAAACTAAGCTACAGGGATAGCATGACAGAATAGCAATAGGTATCAACACTGACATTTGCTATTTGCTAAGCAAAAGGATGCACAACGCACCTTACATGAGCCAAGCTAGCTGATTCAAGAGGGTTAGCATCTCTCCTCACATGTTGCCTCATGCTTACATCATCACTACAATACATACAAGATGGACTACACTAACTTAAACTACATTTTCATATTTGCCCTAACTAATGTAAACATTCACGAGTGGAGCCTAACATTATCTCTCAATCCGAGAGACACTGTTCCCAAGATGGAATTCTAGAAATCGGTGTTGGATGCTCGTTTCAAAAGCATAAAGATGTTTCAATTGGATGAGGAATTCCCAAGAGTCAATTTCAGTGTTCTTCCTTATTCCYGGTAACTATATTGGTTCAACAATCTCCACCTAATTTAGAAGGAGAAACAAAACTCTATTGAGTAAATAGCTTTGGAGATACTCTCTGGAAGACAACTTTGTGGAAATATGTTATTAGAAGCAAATATGGGCAATTTGAAAGTAATTAGATTCCAAATCATCATAGAAATAAAGCCACCTATAGCCCTTGGAAGGAAATCTGCAGTACTATATGTTTTATCAGCTTTGAAAGATGAAACCATATACTGCCCCATTCAACCCATACCAGTACCTATGTTTTCTCAATTTTGTCATAGAGCTCGATTTTATTTATCATTAGGGAGGTACATAGTCGAGGGAGAATTGAGGATCTCTCGATTTCTCCTAATATCAAACCTAAACCAGAGCCAAAAAGATCTTATACCCCTCCATCTCACGTTAAGCAACACATATACCTATTCACACATTACCCATATTACATCATAACTAACTCATGMGTTCCACACTAACAGTTTCCTTATGTCCCTCCTTGTACCCTTCCATTTCCTCCCCTTCTTTCTACCATGATAAACATTAATATTTGGGGGTATATAATTATCCTCGTGAGCTTCATTGTCCCAAGCGTTGAGAGTCACAATGATAACTTGACAATCTCTTCAATTTCAACAGTTGTATTCTTCTTCATGCTTCTCTACCTTGTCCTCTTTTCTCTTTGTCATGTACTATGTAGAACTAAAAATACCTTCAACTCTTGATTCTTCCACTTTCAACCTACTAAGAATTTTCCATCACAACGAAAATATAGGTCCTCCTTTCTGGACCATAGCTCAACTTCTAGAGAATGTCCTTACATTTAACTCAAGTGCGCTCCCTAAGAGTCATAGTTCGGGTTAGGGTAACATCTTCCCTTTTGGTCTAGTTGGTCTATTTTCCATTATATGTATGTGTATTTGTTGGAGTCCTAAGGAGCTTGGATAATTTAATAAATTGGGTTGCTTTTGTTTCCATAACTTTTTTTAGCCCACTTGGTTTCACACAGGAAACCTTTGCTCGAATCACACAAATGCACAAGCCAAACTACTTCATGAAACCTCCTTTAACAATAGTGGCAAGGGAGCCTGAAACACTTAAAGACTTTTTAATACTCCGTCACTGCCCCCTTCCTAGTTTCTACTTGAATGCCAAAAACTATTCAAAAGGGTTTTAAAATGCAAAAGGAGCTAGTCTCTTAGTTCTCATTCACACCAATCATGAATTTTCACATGGTTTCTGGCCATAGATACCAAAAGATAGAGCTTCGCCATCAAAACTCATCCATCGCCATCATGAGTTTTTGTACTTCAACCTGTGTTTTTCTAAGTAATACTTCGCACAAAGCCCAGAATCCAAGTTCAAAACTGAAAGAATGGGCATCTCTACCTTCTAAAAGCTACAGCTTACTCCAATCCAAATGCTATTCATTGCATGCTTCCCTCCAACTCTCCTATTTCCACACTCAAGAAAATTCTCCTTGTTTGAYCATTCTCCCTCTAGCATGAAACTCCTCTTCAATTCCCTTGGCTGTTCGGATTCTTCTTCTAAACTAATTACTACAACCTAAATACAATACATTGACACCTTTTGTTTTGGTAAGGATTGTTACAAGAGGATCAGAGCCACGGTTTTTCATATACCGCCCAAGGTGGTTAGTATTCTAGCTATGTTATACACGAGGTTCTCTATTGCTCAAGGTGGTTTCTTTACTTGTTGGAGTGTCTTACACAAGGATTTCTTTTTTTCTTTGTTTTTTTCTTATGCAGTTTTGTTTTTTCACTAACTTGGATTGGAAGGATATGTTGTAATAGTTTGTTTCTGGAAGGGGGTTTCCTCTGCCTGATCCCTAGGCTGTTTTTTTCTTTTTCTTTTGTTGTGAAATTGTTTCTTGGGGAGAGAGACGTAACGTAACAGAGTAATAAAGTATCACATCATAGTTCATAGCCATCAATCTATTCACAATTTTATCACCAAGCTCAAATTATATCATGTTGTATTCATTATGCACCTTACATACTATATAATCACACTCAAGAACAACGTGTTGTGCGAGTTCGCCATATTATTCAAATGAATGAACCTAAAAGAATTACACGCCACTTAAGCAATTGCATATATAGGGAGGAGCAGCATGTACCTTAACAATAAGAAAATTCAGCGAGGCAATTGAGACCACAAATATGACACTGCAAAAAGGACGGAGAAACAGGTACACGCGGTTAATATTTTTTTTTAGGAAAAAGTTTGATGTACAATTACAAACAGTATCCTCAAGGTTGTCTGGAAGACATACCAAGCTTGATGGAGATATGAAAGGTAAGTGAAGGAAAGTATAAGCCAAACGATAGACATTCCTTTAGCCCTTAGAAGAAAATGGGATCTCAAAATATTTGCCACCAAAGCGTAAATTAGGAAAACGATTGTTAGAATGGGCAGGTTTCCTCGAAAGTTTCTCCACTGGGCATCCGATAAATCCTACAGTGAAGAATTTGAAACAACACTAAGCTTCACTTCTGCCAGGATTATAAAGTTCTAGTTAAAACAACAGAGAAATAGAAAAGGAAAGAAAATTCACACGTTGAGACGAGGAGGAAAGATCCAACCGGGACGCAAGCCATAGAGTTTGACATAGTGATCTGTCAGTCAAACAATGCATGATACAAATAAATGAAATTTAGCAGTATAAGAAAGAATAGGAAATGCTGAAACGAAAAATCGAAGTACCTCGAGAAAGATGAAGGGAACGGCGGATCATAAAGAAGTAAAAACACAACGCATAGAGAAGCAGAAACCCCAACTCTCGCCTCCTCCAACTACTCACGCGTCTATTAGTATTTTGCAGAGTCTTGTTATCCATCTCAGAACCGCGAACAAAAGCAAGACTATTGTTTTGGACGATGCAGCAGCCCTCCAGTTCCCTAAACCAGAGCCAGACTATTATTTTTCTAAACCACCGTACACAAGCTCAACAACGGTGAAAAATACTAGACCAAATTAACAATGAACTATGGCAAAGGGATTCCTGTTGTTCATACACAATCAAATTTAACAAATAATAAAAAGGGGATGCGGCGCCAATACCTTCAGAGTTAGGACTGCCACTACGTGATCGGGAGGTTTGTGAATTATTGAGACTGTCTTGTTCCTGACAAATGCAGCACTCTGCCGCCTGAATCATAGAAAATCCCTCAAATTTGATAAAACTGAAGGCAAAGTCTGTTACAGGAGATGAATAGTGGATTGAAAAAATAAAATTCAGTAAAACAAAAGAAAATCGTACCTAGGAGAAGAATTGAAAGCACGTTAGGTGCGATTATGGGGAAGAAATAGGGAATGTGAAAGAAGTTTCTGATACTAGAAATTAAGATCGCTTCGCCTCAGGAGAATCAACCAGTTTCGAGCCCAGCAGAGAAATGGCGGTGGGTGGGGAATCGCGCGACCGGAGGAAGAAGAAAGGGTGGCCTGCTGACTGCTCTTAAAATCAGACTGGCCGGAGTTTGACCAACATTGTTTCCTGCCACCTATTTTTTTCCCTTTTTCGGAGATTCCTGCCACGGTGGCAGTGCCACCTATCTAAAATCACCATTTTAAAATTGCAATATTATTTGGTATTGCTATATTTATAAATTATAGTTTTTCGACTATAAATAAAGGTATAGATGGAGACATATAAATAAAGTGAATTTGAGTATAGTCATATATATGTTCAGCCAAAAAATTATCATGAGCTATTCCTTAATATATAATATATGTATGTTAAAAAATAATTTATTTACACTTTTATTCCCACTCCCACCGTGGACAATGGTCAATTGTTATTTTCTTAACATTTTATTCTATACCAATTATTTCTTCAATGGGTGGTATCAGCATAATTTCAATCATTCCTCCCACATTTATTGTATTAAAAAATATATACTTAAATTATATATTAAATTAATGGTATCTTTAGTACTATTAAATTATTAATTTAATAGAATTTGATAAAAGATTATTCGTTTGAAARTAATGAATAAGAATTCTTCACTATCTCAAACGTACTTTAGATTATGAATTATTTTATTCGTCATACGAAAATTCAAATTTAAAGGTTATTGTGATAGTAATTGGGCTARACATTTTAATAACGAGTAGAAGTGAATTTAACTTGGATATTGGTATCTTTTACCTAGAGTTCTAAAAATACAGTCTATTGTGACACTAACMAAATATGTTGTTGCATTATCGTTTGTTTGTTCATTGGTTGATTAATAAACTTACTTATAGCGCACCCTAGGATGTTGGTGAAATGACAAGAGATTTGGATGTTGACACCCAAGATCCAAGTTTGAATCCTCTTGTGTTCGGAAGTCAAGACCATTATAATTAGTGGACRATAGCCCAAGTCAACAATTGCTCTAACAAAAAGATTTCACTTACATCGGAGAATGGGATTGCATTTCAAGAAAGGACATTCAAGCTAATGATGTGAAGACATAAAATCAAAYTGTAGATATCTATAAATTTACATGGAGTTATGAAAAGAACTTGTTTAAGACATGTTTTAATAGCACAGTACATGTCCACGAACTATTGGTTAATTAAGTGTTCATGTATTTAGTTTTTAAGATTGATTAATTGTGGATTCATAGGATGAGAGTTAATCTTAGAGTTTCCATGGAATCATACAAATATGATTATCTTTGAGCAAGTAGGTGGAGAATATACAAACAAAGAGAGAGTTTATGAACCAATTTTATATTTYGTAAGAAATTTTCAATACATGTGAAGTTGTTTATTCTCGAATAAATCTCGTTTAATTTTCAATTTGTAAATTTCTATCACACACTTCTAACATCATTCACTACTCGGATGATTCTTTATCAGTAGCTAGACGATCTCAAACCACACTCCCTAACCAATAACACCCCAACAAAAACACAAATCTAGAAGTTCCTCATACTTAATTTGGCACCCAAACTTCCTCTCCTTCTCTAATCTGTAACTTCAAACCTTCCACAAAGGTTTAGACACATCAATTATTACCCTAATTCTCATAAGTAGCCCTGGCCAGTCATATAATCCACCTCTTCTACTTGCCCCACTATCCAAAGCTTCATCCATATTTTTTTGACATATATATGAGAAAGTAACAATGAATATGTATCCAAAAGACAGTATGTGTAGGATGTGTTTGGGAGTGATTTTCGCACAATTTTTTCTTTTGTCAAAGTTACTTCCATTTTCATTGATCATATTTGGCAAATAAAAAAATTGATTTTAAGAAAGTTTAAAATCACTTTAAATTGATTTTTTAAGGCATTACTTGAATGGTGATTTTGAAAAATCAATTATACTTATACATATATTTTTTTAAATCGCTCATTCTACCATCACTCCCAGACCCATCGTAATTCTATTTCCAAACATACCCTAAATATCCAAATAAGAAAGATCTTTATCACAGCTCCATGGCCCTACACACATCATTCTTGCCTTTTCCATCATGGTTCTGAATTGAATGATAAAAACGTTGTCCCCAGCAGTCTCCTGTATGCACCCTCCATACTGATTTGGATAAATAAAACTCAGGGAGAGTAACATCTTAGTAGCTAGAGCACATCAGTTTTTGCTATTCTAATATTTAACCCAACAAAATATGTAGATTATACAATATAGATAGAATAATGATCACGATTTCAAAGAAACTATGAAAAAAGCAAGTTTGTGAATTCCCACCCCACATGTATAATAAGTTTGTGAAATTCTGTAACTTTTGTTGAAGGAAGATGATGGACCATAAATTAGTTGATGGACAAGGAAATAAGGCCATGTATTGTACGTAAAGAAATAACCATGGGGCCGAGTAGCTCTGCCGTTTTTTTCACTCTCAAAACAATTTGCTTTGGGTTAAAGACGCAGAATGTTTGGTGGTTTAGCTTTACATCCACATTATTGATATTCCATCTTATCAAACTTCTTCATTAGAACGTTTCCCCGGCTGTAATGTTGGTTTATATATACTATATATATACACACCCCCATTTGCCTCTTCTTTATCAGACCCAACTTTGCTTTCTCAACTGTGCATCCCACCAGGCACCCACCAAACAATAATCCATGGCCTCCATTGCTGCCATTTCTGTCCTGACCTTTGTTGTGATTGTGGGAACTTGTGCTGCAGATGTCGACTTACTTCAAGATATCTGTGTTGCTGATCTCTCTTCTGGTATTCCCAATCCCCCCTTTTACTCCCTATGACTATGAGCTTTTGCAGCTTTCTTAACCATGGAAAATTTTGGCAGGGATCAAAGTGAACGGGTTTCCGTGCAAGACAAACATATCTGCAGCCGACTTCTTCTTCGATGGACTTGCCAAGCCAGGCCTCACCAACACTACATCCGGTGCGGCGGTCACTGGGGCCAATGTCCAGAAAATCCCAGGCCTCAACACTCTAGGAGTGTCCCTCGCCCGCGTTGACTATGCCCCCGGTGGCCTCAATCCGCCGCACACGCACCCTCGTGCCACCGAGATAGTGTTTGTTCTCGAGGGCGAGCTGGACGTCGGCTTCATTACTACCGCCAATGTGCTGATATCCAAGTCCATCAAGAAGGGAGAAATCTTTGTTTTCCCCAAGGGGCTGGTGCACTTCCAGAAGAACAATGGGAAAGATGCCGCCGCAGTGATTGCTGCATTCAACAGCCAATTGCCCGGAACTCAGTCTATTGCCGCCACTCTATTTGCGGCAACTCCATCAGTGCCGGACAATGTACTCACCAAGGGTTTCCAGGTTGGTACCAAGGAGGTTGACAAAATCAAGTCTCGCTTTGCACCCAAAAAATAAGCCATGATATGAAGAGCAAAAGAAAGGGACAATATCAAAATTATATGGTATTCCAAGGATATCGGTAAGACATTCTTTCGAAAAGGAAAATACGATGTAGATAGATATCAAACAAGCTCGTCGAATAAAAGTACATGCTTATTATTAAAATTCTAGTCTGAGCAAACTTCGCGATAAACCCCCTTCAATTGCTACGAGTTTTCACTTCATACATGACTGTTGCCTGCCATCTGGGATTGCAAATAGTACTATCGGCTTTGATGGCCTGACATATGGAACGTCGCATCTGAAGTACCCCTTCCTCTCTAACTGCAATATGTCTCCACGCTTTAGATTTCGCATGTTTGAATCCCCAACAGCAACGCTCTCCTTTTTTGTACATGGATTTAATACATCAAGAAAATCCTCTCCTTCTTCGAGCTGCAATAACAATTTAAAAGAGGCAAAAAATTCTTAATTTCTATAACCACTTTTCTAACGAGATAAGAACATAATAAGCAACAAAAGGCCGCGGCCACAAAATGTAACAAGAAACAAACAGTCATATGCATACTCATCGTATGAAGAGGTTGACCAACAACTTCTAACTCACGTAACGCATATCAGATTAACATCTAATTTCATAAGTCTTCCATGCTTCGACAAACTGGCTTACCGACTTGCACGTAAACATGATGCAACCTACTCACCAGAGATGCTAAGTGATGCATATTGCAATCTTACTTTTAAAAATGGGACACGAAAGAAATAAAACCAACACAGAAATCTCAATGCAAATAAATTCATGTCAATATGCATAGTTCTGAACTTTGACTTTAAGCCACATCTTGCGTTTAGAACTTCCAAACCAACAGCAAAGAGAGAAAATATTATATCACAATCAAACCAAAGAAACAAACTCAAATAATTTACCATCTAGAAAAGTGCTTGTGATACCACATCAAGCGTCCATACCTTCTTTTTTGTGATTAAATAGTCAAACTCCATAAGTGAGAGGGTGACTAGTTCATTTATATCTGGCAGCCAAGTGGCCTTCAACTTTGTGGTCTTCACAGAACCTTCAAGATGCAAGATTCCAGACAACTTCGTGACATATCCATCTTGGTCCTTCTCAATGCCTTTTACAATTGCATTCCCCCAGTCCATCAAGGTGATTTCTTCATCCACCTTGATGCATTGTGCATCCACCTGGTCGATCCATATCCTCTTTGTGAAAGTTGAAGATTTTTCACCAGCACCTTCATATTTCTTATGCCTTGGTATTACTCGGATAAATGGTTTATCAGGACCATTATCAAGGGTGAATAAAACTCGCCGGTCTTCAATAACAGCAGTATGTCTGGGACACACGGGATCAATAATCTTCTTATTAATGGTCCATAGTTTATCCCATTCCATAAGGTTGAGATTTTTTGATGCCCCCTGAAATAAAGAAAAGAAATATGAGACTAACTTTCATTTCATATCAGTCCTAGACTCCGATCAAAGACAAAAGAAACGACCATGATATCTATCATTTCAAATATATATAAGACAGATGCAGCATACAAGGATCAATGCACAGATGTCCAAATGCTAGAAGTTCCTACTTCCCTAAGTTAACTGCAGAATACTTTGATCTTCTATGTAACTGAAAGCGAAGTGCTGGATTATAAATTTAATAAAAATCCAAGAGCACAACTATTACAAGTGCATACCAGTTTCTGGCACTATTAGAGCAAGATTTATCAATGACTTTCGGACAAGCACCAATTAAGAGATTTTATTTGTAACCCAAGAATTTTCGCACCTGTTCAAGGATGAATTGTATTAGAGCTTCAACTTTTAGACCTCTTCGAACAATCCCCTGTACGGTTGGAAAACGAGGATCGTCCCACCCATCAACCTTCCCATTTTGAACAAACCATAACAGCTTACGCTTGCTGAGAAGTGTATACACCATGTTCAGCCGGCTAAACTCATATATATGAACCTTTCTTAGACCCATATCTTCCTGGATTCGGTAGTACTGTGCATTGCGGTCATGGTATTCACTGGACCGAAGTGCATGTGTAATGCCTTCAATAGAATCAACAAACGGACAGGCAAAATCATAAGTTGGGTATATCTTATACTTGGAACCAATGCGATGGTGGGGAAGTGGATTACAACGGTAATACACTGGATCTCGAAGAGATTTATTAGGGTCCTGCATATCAAGTTTTCCACGAAGACAACAAAGCAAACCCTGCTCAGTTCCTAATATCATCTCCCTCCATAATCTTAGATTCTCTTCAAGACTATTACTCCTACGTTTTGATTCAATGCCTTCCATTCGTTCTTTCTGCATCTGCTCACGTGGAGTATCATCTATATATGCTTTGCCCTGATGAATTAATTTTTCTGCCATTTCCATTAATTGAGGGAAGTAATCTGAAGTATACGTGACAGTTTCATGCTTTATACCCAACGTCTCAATGTCTTTCACAATATTTTCTACAAACTCATTGCTTTCTTTAGCAGGATTTGTATCATCAAACCTGATAATTACTTCACCTTTGTACCGCTGGGCAAAATACTGATTCAACAATCCTGCTTTCGAGTGCCCAATGTGAAGATATCCACTAGGCTCAGGTGCAAAACGCAAACGAACCTTCCCAATCTCTGCATTTGGAAGATCAACTTCAAATGTAGATCTGCTTCCCGATTTCCCTTTATCAGACGTGTCCTGATTGACACTATTTGGCTTCTGAGTGAGACCCTGTTGATCCTTCAATTTAGCACCGGAAGACTTCCCCAAGCCTCTTTTGCCTACATATGTTGTTAAGAAATCATCCAAGCCATCAAAATATTCAACTGAGAGTGAATTAAACCATCGTTGAAGATTAGGGTACTTCTTTGACTTTCTCAAGCTTTCCCACCGTTGCCCAGTTCCTGTAAAGAACAAAATATCATAGCATCAATAAGCCAATTGTGTGTGTGTATAAGTTGCCATGTGGATTAGAAACAAGGAACATTATGAAGAACTTTTAAAAAAAAACAAACAAGAGGGCACGGCATGGCATCCCATCTCTCTCTGTCTCTCTCTCAAGATAGGCAAGGTGATGCGAAAAAAGATTCTAAGAAACAATGGCAGCTAGTAAAGAGGATGGTCAAAGCAGCATTTTTTATTTTCTTTAGTTGAAAAAATTACCTACTAAACCCGACCAGATAGCTATATCTGCAAGTGATAGAGAATGGCCAACGAGAAACGTGCATCTTTCCAAGTACTTGTCAACATAATTGCATGCATGCTCAAATGCAGAACCAGACGAAAAGACAGGAGCATACTCCAACCATTCATCAATCTGAAAATTCATGAATTCATATAACAGTCACTTATAAGAAATTAGCACATAAACAACTATAAAAATAAATAAATTACAAACCACATATCAAAATAAACATTAAGATCATGTTATTACATTTACTGTTCAACTTACCTGACTGGATTCATATGCACTCTGTCCATAGAAATTAGGAATCTTGGCAACTCGACCAATATAACGTAGAAGCACAGAGGTTCCGTGCAACTTCAGCCTACAATAGATTAACTTGACTTAAGCATTGAGTAAAAGTCTATTAGATATTTTCCTCTGACTCATATCAAAGGGAGAGACAAAATTCTTTCTAAGATTAAACAGTGGGAGTATAACGTAAAATTTCAAAGATAAATGACCGGTATCAAAGGTTATTGCAAGTAAGATTTAAAATATCACAAATTTTTGCTGTGTTTTTAATCAGACACCCAATAAAACACTAGTGGACGTGGCATACACAATGTATTCATTTAATAAACTGATTTTATTTGAAATGGGAGAAGGAGAAGATCCAGAAATTTCAGGTTATTAATGATCTATTTCTAGATTTAAGTTAGAGAATATATAATAATTAATACCATCAAAACTTGGAAGGCAAACAATAGTCAATAAATTTCATGTACGAAAAGCTGGCAAATTTGGAAAGATGAGAAAACAATAACCAGGAATGAGAGTGGCTCCCTTCTGGTGGCAATAGATTACATTTTACAGAGAGCACATAAAGACAAGAGCAAATTATTATGAGCATAAGTCATGGATTTGAAGTTAAATGCAGATCAGGGAATGGAAGGACAGTGTTAGAATCCACAAATAGGTATAAATATCTAAAATTTGTCTTCTAAATAGCCAGTATGAAAAACTTACACGCTTCAACTTGTATGCTAATTCTGATGAAATATAACAAGCCATAGAAGTTTTTATATCTCCTAGTTGATATCATAACTCATAAGCTTCCTTAATAAACACATGTATACAAATTATGGATACAAATCAATGATTGTCACGTCTTCTTTTCCTTTTTGTTTTCATTCCATGGCTCGACCAAGTTTGAATAGCCATTTAACTTCATCAATTAAAAAGAATGTCGATCCATGTAGAAAATTAGCATCTTTTAGAACTTACGCAGAAAATGTTCTTAGACGATGATGTAAAGTACCAAATAAAAATCTAGGATAAAATACAAATTCCACCATTAACCTATTATCATCGATTTTTTCCATAAAATAGACCACGTTAACCTTCTGTACAAATCAACTAAGATTTACGTTAATACTAGATTACATAAAACAGCAAAACAACTACATGTATAAGAACATTCCATGGTCATATGATGTGGTATAACTATGAGGAAATTATATTTTCATTCTAAATAAGTTGACTTCACGGCATGAACTCAAGAAATAGCCTAAAATCAGAAAGAGAAACGAAATTAGATAATGGAAAACAATAAAAATAGAAAGTGTTATAAATCAAAATCAATTGCTTTTGAAGGTAGAATCTCAAACGTTTCTCTTTTTTAGAAGCTAAATACGGCAAACTAAGCTGAGGGAAGAGAGAGATTTGATTATACCCATTGGTGAAGAGAAATGTGGGAGCGGAGCCAGAGGCAAGAGAAGAATCTGCAGTGGAAGTGATACCAGCAAGCTTGGCAGCAACAATGACGGACAATGGAGGGCTATCGGCCGGAAATGACAAAAGCTGAATATCCATGATTCTCAACACCAGAACCAATCAAATCCAAACTGAAATCAAAGACGATGCATACAAGGGTTTTAAGTAGGAAAATGATTGAAATGAGATCAAATCGTTTACGAGTATGAACTATAAGAAAAGGTAGAGAAAACTGCTGGCAGAGGCAGACCAATATTCAGTGGTAGCCTAGCCGCCGAAGATTTTGAACGAAGGGAAAGGGAAGGGCAAAAATCTATGGGCCGACGAACCGAGCCAGTTCAACTCGGTTCGGGTCAGTTTTAATGGTCGGGTTCGTCGGTCTTTTAAACAAATAACAGAGTGAAAACTCGCCTGCAAATCACTCACGGCGCTGTAGGAGTAAACCCATCTATTTTATTTTAAATATTTATTGATAAATACATTACTGTAACTTCTTTAATAAATTGAAAATAAATGAAGTGAATAATCTGTTTCGTTATTTGAAAATTTGTTAAAGGATGATTCTTAATTTCTTATACATATGTGAAAAACGATTTCGATCTCAAAAGAGTTGGTCAAATATCTAGAATAAAAAATGTGGAGTGATTTGTAAGTATTTTGACTTTTTGGCTCTTTTTTATTGTAAAGTTTTTTCTTGTAATATTTTCAGTATGGAAGTTAATTTATGCTTAAATAAAGTGAAAGAATACATATGAAAACAAGTGGCTTTAACCTAATGTTTCATTTATATTAATTAATTATGACTCCTAGTCCTAACTTTTACCTCTTGTGTTTGTCGAGAACTAAGGATGTTGTGTCCAATGAATGATTCTTCCAGGTGTGGGAACATGGGGCATTTTCTCATTCATTTAAGATATTTGGCATTACCTAAAATACTTATTCTTGAGTGGAATGCTTACCATCCTTGTTTTCACATGTATGTGTGTCAAAAATTTAATATTATTCAGTACAATATTTGTACTCTCTAATCATCATCTTTAAAATAATTAACGTGTCATTCAAAATATACATATATGAAACAACGGGAAGGAATTTGAAAATGGTACCGCATATGTTTTGATAAAAATAAAATAAATTAAATCAAGTGCACTTCAACCTACGACTAAATTGATATTTGAGATTAATGTTTCAAATGTCGATATCGATGAAAATATCRAGTCCTCAATTTCATGAAAATATCGATAAAATRTCGATGGATATTTCTATAAAAATTAGAATTATTAAAAAATCGTAAAAAAATATTTAATTTAACAGATAAACATATTCTTATTTCTAAATTAGTTAAAAATAATTAATATTAATATTATGTATAGATTAGTGACATTTTGTTTATTTTTTCCTCATATTTTGTCGGTTTTATTGTACTATAATGAAAATGTCGATTCATCCCTTATATGTTGATTTTGAACCCATGAAAACATGGATATATCGATAGATATTTAGAACCATATTTGATATACAAAACGTTAGAAAGAGAGCAACGTGTCATAAGAATTATTGTAAGGAACGATGTGGATCAATGAGAAGATGTTAAACTAAAAGCAATAACTAGAAGAGGGAACAAGAGAGGGAGTGAATGCGGCGGTGGTGGAGGCGAAGAAATGGTCTTCTCCGGCGGGTGCGGGAGCAGGAGATCCTAAGCGCAGGGCGTAGCCTCGCCCATATAATTCTCTTCAGTTTGAGGACGAAAAACTTGATCTTCTCGGGCACACTCCTTTTCCTGCAGAACTGATAGCTCCTCAGAAACAGCCGCCGCTTCTCCATCATCAAGGAGTAGCCCTGATCTGAACAATATCCAAAGGATTCGGTCCGTCGAACACCATCATTATCATGGATGAAAAAGTTGAAGGCCATGGCTAAATGTACAGAGATCGATCTGTATTCAGTACTATATAGATATTGTTTGAAGTCAAGTTTGTGGAGAAAGGAGGTGAACTGAAGCCAGCGTGTAGAAGCGTTGTATTTTGTATGGGCCGTTTGCTTGGGCGTAGGGAGGCTTGAGTTAGCAACAACGCTGACTGCTAAGACGCGGCTAAAAAATAATATTACAAAYTCAAAATAATAACCGCGTTAATTCTACATCTACTTGACCTCTTATTAATTAAAACTTTGATTCAAAGATGGAGGCCGTCAAATCTGAAACAGCTGCAACAAACTTCTACTTTCTCCATTTCCTCTCTTTTTCTTTTCCCATAACCTTCGTCCCTTGTTATTATTTGAAGTTTTTTTCTAAACCACCTTGTTATAATGTTAAATTTAATTATTTAAAGTCAGATCCACTCTTTAGAAGTTTATTTACGTCATCTGAATATTTAAGTATCGAACTAATTATAATATAAAATGCACATATCTCAAACAAAAAAGTCGTGAGTTCTTTGAATCCCCACCCCACATGTTGGTGTGTTAAAAGAAAAACTTATAATATATAATTATTTATTTCAACTTTAATCAGTAGTTGATCGATCCATAACTTTAGCTCGGGGAGCTTTATTTAAAATTAACCTAGTTTCAAGAATTCGTACAAATTCATAAATAAATTGAACTATAATTTAGTACACAACAAATTTTTTTCTACGAATTTTCTTTTATTATGAAATCGCTTCATGATAACTTCATTTTCTATCTTATCAAAAATATCTTTCTATTTATATCTTAAATTACACCTACACGGACACTAATAAAAATAAAATAAAAGTTAAAACGAGAAAAAATATAATAATAATAATTGAATATATATATATATATATATATATATATATATATATATTATATGTTTGTGTAAGCATCACAAACACATGACATATTAGTTTTATATTATGATGCAAGTTTTTACTAACTATTTATATTTAAAATAACCTTAAATTTATAGTAAATATAAGAAAAAATATTTTTTTGATAATTAATCTTCTAACTTTTTTTAGACTCTGCATAATTCAAATTAAATTCTATAAAATGAGAACAATCAAATCTAAAAAATTGATGATTTATAAACAAGAAAAAAAATATTGATACAATAATTATTAGAAAAATATTATATATATATATATATAATGACAAGTATAAATTAAAAATAAAAATAAACCTAAAAATCTTCCTAAAATATTATAATTTGATTCATCGTTGTAATTTTATCATAATAGAGCAGACCATAAATTATACTCAACATTATAGGCTTTTTTTTTTTTTTTTAATGTTGCATGAAATGAGAGAAGAGAATAGACGTGTAAAGCCATGTCATTTTATATACATGCCAACATTAACACATATTTCTTACATATCTTTTCTTACAAGTAAACCTTTTTCTTTATTTGTTTTTTAGGATACCAGCTGATGGTCTTATCTTATCAGTTAAATAGTTTTTCATTACAATTGATTGAACTTGATGCTTAATTTATTTGTATTTTCTCCAAATATTAAAGTTTTATTTAAAAGAAATTGAGTGCATTCCAATTATTAAATAATAATTAAAAGTTTGTACTAGTCTCATTTTAAATATTTGATGTTAAGTAGGAGTTCATCTTGGCAAAAATTCAAAGGATGAGCTTTAGTGAGGGAGCTACCTCGACCCGAGCTTCGAGGGCCAAAAAGCCTAAAGGACGAATTCTAACTAAAAGAATACATCTCAAGTCATACCCTGCCAAATGAAGAGATGTGYTAAATTCTACCTGACAGGTGAAGCATGATGATACGAGTTGGATCAGATGAAGTTGTATCTGAAATACCAACTAATCAGTGACACACTTTGGATTTCTATTGAATTGATATATCGATTTGATTGTCCATCTTTTTGATATATAATATAAGGCATTCTCCAGATAATTAAAATTGAAGCAATTGGATGTCCGACTTGAACCTATTCGATATATGACCGATCAATAGAAAGACTCTTACACTCCACATTTATCATATTTAATAGTCCATACATCACACGAGATCAATATCATAGGAATAGAATATGATTCACTTTCGACGATGCTTGGAGAGAGATAGATATACTTCGCTAAATTCATGCATCGTTATTATAAGTTAATCGAGAGTGACACATGGGCCACTCCCAACAGGACACGTGTGCTTGGCAATAAGAGAGCTCACCCTACCAAGTTGGATGGGAAAGACTCGTGTTGGGCCAAACAATGCTAAGCTTGGCTCTTACTCGAGCATGGTTTAGTAGGCAGAATATCCACAGGAGTGGAAATGTGATTTTAGGATATTTACGTAGGTAGTGAAAGATCATTTAACGGGTACAAATGCTGCCACCCATAACATGCTTCCCGACATTCTCCTCGTGTAAAAGGTGATCAAACCATTATCAAAGTACACAATCTCTTGTATAAACTTCTAGTTCACCATTTAAGCCTTCGGAGTGTATTTCTCCGAGCACCATACTAATGTTAGGTTCTAACGTGCAGGTACCAATTTGGATGGGTAAGATTTCTATACCATGTTCGTACTGACGCGTAGCCTTGCTTTTAATCTAAATCTGTCCATTAAAAAATAAAATACGAAGAGGTTAAATAATTAGTTTTCTAAAATTCAGCAAAATCCAACCATTTTAGTTCGGAAATTCTTTTACGTGAAACACTCAAAACTTAAACATAAAATCTAGGGTTTATCCTCGCGCTCATCACCCATAGGAATTTTCATCAGAAACCAAGATACGTGTAAAAAACCCTCCCATATAATCGAAATATCTAAAGCTTCTGTGCAGCGTCACTATATATATTCAATAGATTTTGGGGTAATGCCGTTGAGGCAAAACCATACAGTCCATACATTCTATCCTTATCGCCGTGTGTCTCATCCTCTGAGCCTTGCCGCATCTCCTCTTCTCCGTCCCTGAGTTGAGCGACTGCAAGGTGGCGAAGCAAACCCTCGCAAATTAGGTCGCCACCTCCGGGGACTGTGTCACTCGGCAGAAGTTGAAGGGAAGAAATGGCTTCGATTCTCGGAGTTACTGCAATTCATCATGCACCAAATCTTGATATTTACAGAAGGATGGGAACAGCGGCGACGCCATCACCCACGCCTTCTCTTTCTTTTGCTGACAAGTCCCACATAAATGCTTCCAAAGCTCAGACTAGTTTCAGTAGTGGTAGCCGTCGCAACTTGGCTTTCTCCGATGGTTCCAGCGCTGGCACGTTCAAGTCCGGATTCAGCTCTTCTGCAATTGCGACTCCCAATTCCATCCTTAGCGAAGAGGCTTTCAAAAGTCTCGATGGCTTCTCCAAGGATGATTTCATCGATTCCCAACCTAATTCGTCTCTTGGATTCTCTGCTGATTCTCCTGCTGACGAAGATGAGCTCGCCATTTCCAAATTAGGCTTGCCCCAACGGCTCACTGAATCGCTCGAGAAGCGCGGAATTACTAGCCTCTTCCCCATTCAAGTACTATCACACTCTCTTGCTTTTCTTCATGTTGATTTCTTTTGTTAATTACTTGACTAGTACTTTGCTTGAGACAGCGAGGAAGAACTACTTTAAGTTTCATGTCATGGTTTTATTCCGTTTTCTACCAGAGATTATGTTCGGTTTTTGAAGCTATTAGTTTAAAGTTAATTATTATCCGTTTAAGTTCAAAATGTTCCAGGATGTGGGAAATGCAATGGAGTGAAATTTCTCACATCCATTTTTAGATATTGTCCTTTTCCCGTGGTCTCATACCAGTTTCATGAATGAACTTCACATTCATTTTGAGATATGCCTTCTTGATATCTGCCCTATATCATTTGCAATTCTGCACACCTCTGCTTGTTTAGGAATTGACCATAACCATAACTAAGTTTAGTTTTCATTTTACGATTTAGATTCGTTTTATTCTTAAGTCAGTCTTGTCTTCGGAGGATATTTAGATTACACAAGCTGAAGAATCCTTTTTTTTTTTTTGAGGGTATCATGTTACAGACCTCAAATATGTTTAGTCACAAGATATATTTGTTAATGACTAATTTGATTAGTCGAGTATTGGTTTTTTTGGATAAGAAACTAGAATTTTATTATCAAAACCAAAAAGAAATTAGTTGAGTATTGCGATTGCATCTTTAATTTTTTGTTTTATTTTTCATTTATAAAATACAGAGAGCTGTTCTTGTCCCTGCACTAGAGGGTAGAGATCTCATTGCCCGTGCAAAGACTGGCACTGGGAAGACATTAGCCTTTGGGATACCAATTATTAAACGACTTACTGAAGATGACGAATTAAGAAGTTCGCGGAGGTACGATTTTGTGACTCTCTAGAATCTGCGACCTAGAAATTTGAGTATTACTAACTTTTCTGTATTTGTTGATAGGCGGTCACGTCTTCCTAGAGTTTTGGTGCTTACACCAACCAGGGAGCTAGCCAAGCAAGTGGAAAAAGAGATAAAAGAATCTGCACCTTATCTGAACACTGTTTGCGTTTATGGAGGGGTTTCATATGTTACACAGCAAAATGCTCTTACCCGTGGAGTTGATGTGGTAGTTGGAACACCTGGTCGAATAATAGACCTGATAAATGGTAACAGCCTCAATTTGGGGGAAGTTGAATATTTAGTGTTAGATGAAGCAGATCAGATGCTTGCTGTTGGGTTTGAGGAGGATGTGGAAGTAATTTTACAAAAGCTTCCAACTCAGCGACAAAACATGCTCTTTTCAGCTACCATGCCAACTTGGGTTAAGAAACTTGCACGCAAATATTTGGAAAATCCATTGACCATTGATTTGGTAATCTTATACCTTCTTTTAATATCTCAATCAATTACTTGGGCTTCAGGTTTTCTACATTTGCAAAATTTATGGTCTGCTCTATTATGATAAACCGTGAAATTGTCTTGGGGAGAGATGCTTGCTCTTAAGTGTACAGTGTATTGCAAAGACAAGCTAGTATCTTTTTATGTGTTCTATTTTCATTCTAATTCTTTACTTTTCAGTGATGTAGGGGCATGTGAATGTTAGTAAAAAAATAAGTGAATTTGATTTGCATCTCCTAGGTGAAAATGTTGTCATGATAAGCTAGCATATGTCAGAAGGAAAAAGGCCAATTGTAATCTGAATGGCCTATTGCAAGTTTTGAGGAAATGAGACTCAGTTTGGAGATTGGAATTGCATTTAATTGTCTATGAAGATCAATTGCTGTGAGTAAAAATACTCATCCTGTATTTAAATTTGTAGGTTGGTGRCCAAGATGAAAAGCTTGCTGAAGGGATCAAACTTTATGCCATATTAACCACTGCAACTTCAAAGCAAACCATTCTCAGAGATCTTGTGACAGTAAGCATAAACATATCCCTCCTTCTTCATACATTATAGACCAGTTATCCTTGGGCTTATTCTTTTGTATGCTGTAAGTTAAAGTATATAAAATCAATTTTGTTGTCTGACTCCAATAATGTCATGATTTCAGGTTTATGCTAAGGGGGGCAAGACCATTGTTTTTACACAGACAAAACGTGATGCTGATGAAGTCTCTTTGGCATTAGCAAATAGCATAACTTCAGAAGCATTGCATGGAGATATATCACAGCATCAACGGGAAAGAACCTTGAATGGCTTTCGGCAAGGGAAATTCACTGTGCTTGTTGCAACTGATGTAGCTTCACGAGGATTAGATATCCCAAATGTTGATTTGGTAATGTCATTGGACTCTATTCTGATTTATGTCAATTTCTTTTGCTCCTGTAAAAGAAAATTTAATTTTCATTTTGGATCTAAATGAATGTGAGTGGTACATGTCTTTTTATTTTCTTTCCTTGTCTCTAATTCTCTCCCTTCCTTTTTCATTTTGCAGGTTTAAGAATTATTTGTATGGTATAATTAGATAATTGTGATTACTACTTAAGATTCTATTCATATTAATCATAATTATCTAATTATACATATAATTCTTTTTGGATAGGGATTATACATATAATTCTTAGACTTGCAAAAAGTAAAGGAGTGGGAACGGATGTGGGGGTGGTGCATTTTAACACTTCCCATTGGGCTTTACAATTATTCTATGGACTCTGTTTTATGATAACATGCATGGTTATGAGCTTTTAGTTCCGATGCTTTTAACTCTTGTCCAAATTTTCAATCTGGGGTGTGCACTAACGTACTTTGAGACTGTAGTGTACTCCTTTAAATGATACAAAGCCGGGCAATATCTTGCATTTCATCTTCATTTTTATTAAGCTTGTAAATTTAGACCCTTTCAATATTAAATTTTTGTTTTTTAAAAATTGTGTGTACTTGACTTCTCTAGTTCTCTTTATCTTCACTTCAGGTTATCCACTATGAACTTCCTAATGATCCAGAGACTTTCGTACATCGCTCTGGTCGTACTGGACGTGCAGGAAAAGAGGGTTCTGCTATTTTAATGTTTACAAATAGTCAAAGAAGAACAGTTAGATCTCTTGAGCGTGATGTGGGGTGCAAATTTGAGTTTGCAAATCCACCTGCCATTGAGGATGTCTTAGAATCATCAGCTGAGCAAGTAGTTGCTACTCTTCGTGGAGTTCATCCTGAGTCTATCGAGTTTTTCACTCCAACTGCACAGAAGTTGATTGACGAACAAGGAGCGGGTGCTCTGGCAGCTGCACTTGCACAATTAAGTGGGTTCTCCCATCCTCCTTCATCACGGTCGCTTATTAGCCACGAACAGGTAAATAAGAGTTCTTTTTATTAATTCGATATAACTAGAATAGTTATTTTCCAGATGTCTATTTCATTGAAGGTAAACATTTTTATTTCAGGGATGGGTCACGTTGCAGCTTACCAGGGATCCATCTTATTCTCGAGGGTTTTTGTCTGCTAGGTCTGTCACTGGATTTCTATCAGACATTTATTCCCCAGCTGCGGATGAAGTTGGAAAAATACATTTAATTGCAGATGAAAGGGTGAGTATCTGTAGCATGTTGGACCTATTTTGTGTCTTTTATTTCCTAATTTCAATGGTGTACAATTTCGTTTTAAACAAATAATTGAATATTGATGTTGGTAATGCCAGATACATGGAGCAGTATTTGATCTTCCAGAAGAAATAGCAAAAGAGTTGCTGAATAAGCCACTGCCAGAAGGAAATACAATTTTGAAGGTCACCAAGGTAATTTTTTTTCCTCTCACAATCATCATAGTTTCTTAATTAATAATTTTCTTGTATTGCTTCAAAAATAATCTTGTTGTCTCTGTGATGACGACCACTGTAAATACCGGGCTGTCTAACAGAATATTGGAACACGTTCTGTACTTTATTTTTGCAGTTACCTCCTCTGCAAGACGATGGGCCACCAAGTGACAACTATGGAAGGTTTTCTGGCAGAGAGAGAAATAGCCGAAATAACTCTAGGGATCGCAGAGGTTTTAGAACATCAAGGGGCTGGGGCAGTGGCCGAGACTCTGATGATGATGGTGATTTATTTAGTAGAAATCGCAGTTTTAGAACTAACAACAGCAGCAGGTCCCGGAATTTTAAAAGCTCAGGAGATGATTGGCTAATTGGAGGCAGACGATCTAGCAGGTCATCATCCATGGATGGGTAAATTTTATTTTTTGCCTAATAAGATTGTGGATATTGTGTATTCCTTGAAATGCTGCTTTGGAAATAAAATGATGGATTTATAGCAAGTTGGATTTATAGCAAGCAGTGAAGGGTAGTAATCTTTAAAAGTTTTGTACTTGTACAAGGAAAAAGGAATTATATTTTGGGATGGGTGAGTTGAATATGCCGTGAAGTAACTCCGTTTCCCTTTTCTTTTCCTTTTAAACACTGTCTTTAAGGGAATATATTGACATCCATAGGCTCAATTCTAGATTAACAATAATGGAATTTGAACATGCATTGCAGATTTGGAGGATCCTGTTTTAATTGCGGAAGAATGGGGCATAGGGCATCAGAATGCCCCGACAAGTGACAAACAAGACGACTAAATATACGTGATTCAGCTTTAGATTTCGTGGCGACTTATAAGTAGGTTTTTGGCATCAGCCAGCTCAGTTGCATTGTCTTATATTCAATGGCTGGTATTTACGTCTCGAAGATGCTCCTTAGAAAGAGTAACAGGAATGGTGCTGAGTCTCATGTCGCCTTACGAGATTACTTTTACAATATTTGCACAATTCTCAGTCTGTTCTAGTTTAAGTTTTGCTCAGTGAAGCATTCAAAATTGATTTGTTGTGTTATGAATTATATGGATACCCTTTTTCGTCCTCCATGTAGAATGTATATGTTCCAGGAAGAGAATTGGGAAATGAAAACAGCGTAGCATTTCTTGGTTATAACTTGATTCACTAATTTGTTGGAGCAGCTCAGGTTCTCTACGCTATGGAATCTCCTTACCACCTCATCAAATTTGACGATCACAATTCTTCCCCTACTGAATAGATGAAATAATATCTTATCTACGACTGCTGGCTAAAAATCAATTTTTGACATGAAATACTTGGAAATATTTTTCTTTCTAAGTTCAACAAATGGGATGGAAATATTTTTCTTTCTAAGTTCAACAAATGGGATGGAGATTCAAACTAACAACTTTTTTTTTTGATAGTTTAAGTTTTTTAAAGTACTCCATTCACTAGGGGAATGTGTAATTTGGAATGTATAATAGTGTTTTCCTAACTATTTAATATGTTGTTTGAAATATTGGGACAATGGATGTTTGGACATATGTTATATTTTGGTTAACTGAAAATATTAATTTCTCAATATATTCTAAAAAAAATATCTAGGTAAACTGATTTAAGACCCTTTGTAACTATTTTCCAAACATTTGAAACTAAAAGTGCACATTTATTAATGTTATGTTGGAGCCTCTCTTTCAACTTTCCAAGTTCCAAACAGTAACATCCAAGCTATTGCTCGTGAATTTTCCTCGATTCAATTTCTGCACATGAGGAGGAGGAAATATGTTTGATTTTCCTTCTTGAATTGTAGATGAGGCTAGGAAAGATATTTCTGTAGCGTGGCTTTTAATTATTGTTTCAATTAAGTTGGATAGAACTAGAAGTTGTTAACTATGGAGGTAGAAAGCATAACACTGTGGAAATGCAATCACAAAAATCAAAGAGTGACTCTAGTACCATGTAAAATCTTAGATGCACAGCTCATATATCTCTAGTGGACATTGATAGACTTGGAATTGAAGAAAACACACAGAATTCTCCCTCGCAGCACACATCCAAGCCATTGCTACTTGTTAAAAAGAATGTTGATGAGGGTCCTAAACAAGGGTCCCCTTACCCTTTTGGCGTTGAGAACCTCCTTAACATCCTTCTCATTAGCCACAAACCCCTTAGCCTCCATCTGCCTCATAAATTCTCTTGCTTCCTCCACTCTGCTTTCCCTTGCAAGAGCCTCAAAGACGGCGGTGTAGGTTCCAGCATTGGGTCGCAATCCCCTGCCCATCATTTCCAGCAAGTGGGTCTTGGCGTCGCCTACAAACTTCGGATCCGCAGCAAGTCCTTTGATGAGAACAGTGTAAGTGTAGGCATTTGGGGTCACTCCAGAGGCAAGCATTCGCAGGTACACCTTGTGAGCTTCCTTGCGCTGGCCCGCATTCACGTAGGCTTCTATCACGGCTGTGTGTGCCACAACATCAGGCATGTGCCCCTTCTCCTTAATTATAGAGAACAGCTGCAGAGCCTCGTGGGTGCGGCCATCCTTAGACAATGCGTCGAACATCTTGACGGCACTATTTTGGAGACCATCTGTCCTCATCTTGTGGAAGATCTCCTGCAAGTTCTTTGGGTCTTCGGGCTCTTCCACGACGGGCTTCTTGCTGAAGGGGTCATAAGGCGGTGGAAGTTTGCTTTTATCGAGTTCCACGGCGCCCACCTGATGGTGGTGGTCGTCGTCGTCGTCGTCGTCTTCGTCCGAGTGTGAGATTGAGAAATTGACTTTGGTGTTTATCTTGTTGGCTTCTGATGAGGAGGAGGCGTATAATCTGGTGTTAGCGGCATTGATATGGAAAATAGCAGGTGGGTTCGGTTTCCTAGTTGGGACGAGTCTACCACTACCAAAATAACGATTTAGAAAGGATGATGCGCGCAAGGATAATGGGTTGGGGAAGAAGGATATTGAAGATGAAGTGATGGTGTTGGAGGCAACAAGAAGGGCTCGAGATACCATGTTCGCCATAGTCTTTGATTTGCAGGTCTGCGTTACCCTGTGTTTGTGCAGAACCTCCCTCTCCGCTGCCAAACACTTGGGAAGAAGAAGAACAACAACAACAAGAAAATCAAGGTTARAGAGAGAGATGAATCGAGAGCTACGGATTCGCTTGAAATCGAAGCACAATAAAACGAGGGCTGCGAGGGCTGAGTTGCGGCCAAGTCGCCGTTGCTTGCTTGCAACTGTTTTTTTTCTTTTTCTTCGAAAAATTAATTTATACTCCTATATTAATTAAAATACCAAACTAATAATTTCATGAGGTAATGTTTTGTGAGGAGGTTTTAGAAACTTATCTAAAATTTTTTAATTTTATACTTTTAGATATTCGTAAATTTTGTATTTATATTTATTATAATTAATCTTTTATTTAAATGTAAAAATTAATATTTCAAATTTGATTTCACAAACATTAAATTATTGTAGGACTTAAATCAATCATTATCATAGTCCCTTAATTTACCCCTAGTATATTATACTAAAGAAAATTTATTATAAAATATTCAATTATTATGATAATCCTCAAATTTACTCGTTAATATATTCTATCAAATAATGAAATTTATTACGAAGTATTTTTTCATTTCATTACAATTTTTGGCCATATTTCAATAATATAGTCATGATAACATACACTTATATATATACATATACATATATATATATATATATATATTTATTTATTTATAGGGAGATATACACTATATCATACACTTTTATATATATATATATATATATATATATATATATATATATTTATAGGGAGATATACACTATATCCGGCTACCTTTTCATTTATATGGAAATATAAATTATATATGGTTATAAACTTAAATAACATACACTTAACAATGGTGATATAAACTATCTCATTATAACATACACTTATATGTCTTATGGAGACATATCTCATATTTGACTATAAAGTATATACGAATATATGCCTCTACAATTAACAAATAAAGCAAATAACATACAAACCTTCTGGTTGGCGACTCGACAATGGTTAGGATAAACGGAGGGCTCGAATGGTCGACGGATGGCAAACGACAAAAAATAAATCTTAGGATAAATGGACGGAAACAATGGACGGGCGACCGGAGACGAAGGATAAGCTAGACGGGCTGTTCCGACGACGAAAAAGAACGGAGACAGCGGTCGGAGATGAAGGAACGCATACGACGGCTGGAGACAAAGGAATGGACGAAAGGAAAACGACAGATGAAGAAAAAAAGTCGGAGGAAGGAGGAGGTTTTCGAATTTTTTCAATAATGGAGAATTTTGGGAATTTGATATTTTTTTTTTACTTTTGGGAAGTCTAATTAGGCAAAATTTAAGAGATTTAAAATATAACATTCCAAGTTAGGGGTGAGCGAGTGTGGCTGAAAAAATCGAGCCGATCGACCGAAACCGACCAAACCGACGTCGGTCGATCGGTTTTCACCTATGGTCGGTCGGTCGGAATCTGCCGATCCTAAAAAATCGACTATGGAATTTGTATATCATAATTTCTTTCTTCTTTTTTATTATTCTCACTTGGAGTGTTTTAGCCTAGGGTTCCCCTTCGTTT